TAAGGAGCAGGTACTGCAGATCCAAAAGGATCTGGAAAAATTGTGGAAGTGGGCTGGGGACAACAGGATGGAATTCAATGTAGATATGTGCAAGTTCCTGCAGTTGGGGCATAGGAATGGGTGTCAGGTTGGAGCACAAGTGGCTGGAGAGCAGCACTTGTGAATAGGATCTCAGGGTGCTGGTCGACTACATGCTAAACATGAGTCAGCAGTGTGAAGCGGAGGTCAAGAGGGCAAATGCCAGTCTTGGATGCATAGCAGGAAGCGTGGCTTTGAGATCAAGAGAGATATTACTGCCACTCTATACAACTCCGGTGTGCCCACAGCTGGAGTATTCTTGTTCAGTTCTGGGTCCCTCCTTAGAAGAAGGATATAGCAAAGTTGGAATCAGTGCAGTGAAGGGCCACTAGGGTAGTGGCCAGTTTGCAGGGTACTGCGCTTTGCTTTGTTTTTCTTCCGATTTATTTTATCCTTGTGTGTTTGTGTGTAAGTGGGTTTTTGTCTTGGAGAACTGGGCGAGTGAGAGGAACTGTAGGAGAAACAAGGCAGGGGGCCAAGGTAAGGTCTCAGAAGGGATAATGATGGCAGAGCAGGAGATGGCCCTGGCAGGAGTCACGGGTGTTGCTGTCCACAGGGAGAGCTGCGACATGTTCGCCCTTCTCCCCCAGGAGTGGCAGGGATACACTTGTCCTCGGTGCAAGATGGTGACCCTGCTAGAAGAGGAGGTGAGGTGCCTGAGGGCCGAGAGAGCAATCCAGGCCCCCCGAAGCAGCCCCCCTCTGGACAGAGGGTTGAGGGAGAGACCACGGGAGGAGCAGCTGTGGAAACATGGATGTATGTCACCCACAGGTGGAGGAGGCCAGCACGGCCTCCTCCTTCTCCTGGCACCAAACTGGAGCTGGGAAACAGGTTCTCTCCACTTGGGGAGGCTGGGGCTGATGAGGCCTTGGGGGAACAGCAGGACCCCCAGCCTGGGATATCAGGCAGCAAGGAGGCCGCTGTGGGAGAGGCAAGGACCAGGGCATGGCAGCCCACCAGCACCGGGAAGGTATGACGGCATGTGATTTTTGTTGGGGACTCCCTGCTGAGGGGCACTGAGGTGGCAGTGTGCTGCCCCAACTTGGAGACAAGGGAGGTTTGCTGCCTGCCGGGTGCACGCATCGAGCATGTGAAGGACAGAGTGGAGCGTCTTGTTCGCTCCAGGGGTCACCAGCCGCTCCTGGTGATCCATGTGGGCACAAATGATGCGGTAAGGCAGAGTGTGGTTGGGACCACCAGGGACTTTGAGGCCTTGGGGAAGAAACTCACGGAGCTGAAGACCCAAGTGGCCTTCTTGTCAATCTTACCTGTCCAAGAATTTGGGCCAGGAAGGGGCAGGAGGGCCTCTGAGGTGAACGACTGGCTTAGGGTGTGGTGCCAGAAGCAACGCTTGGGGTTCCTTGACTATAGCACTCATTTTCTTGCCAATGGTCTTCTGGCAAGGGATGGGTTACACCTCACGAGAATGGGGAAAAGGTCCTTTGGAGATGCTCTAGCAAGCTTCGTTCAGAAGACTTTAAACTGAGCCAGAGGAGGGGTGAGTTCAGGCCCCCCAGTAACGTGTCTGTAATGGACAAGTGTGGGGGGAAGATCACGGCTCTGGGAACAGGGTTTTAGAGATACTTCAGGGACTGAAAGGACTCCGACAGAGAGGGGCCAGGTATCAGGGAGGATGGGAGGAAGGAGGAGGCTGGGAACTCCAAGGAAAGGAAGCAGTGGGAAGGAGTTGAGGTGCATGTACACCAATGCTAGGAGCATGGGTAATAAGCAGGAAGATCTTGAAGTTCTCCTGGGAATAGGAGGGTATGATCTGGTGGGAATCAGAGAAACCTGGTGGGATGAAAGGCAAGTCTGGAATGTGAACATAGAAGGGTATCACATTTTTAGAAAGGACAGGAAGGGAAAGAGAGGTGGAGGCGTGGCTTTATACATCAGGGAAGGGATAGGATGCAGTGAGATAGAATGCAGCACAGATGGGGATTCGGTAGAGGCAGTCTGGGTGAAACTTAGCGGTTTTGACAGGGAAAGAGACCTGACAGTGGGGGTATGTTATCGCCCTCCAGGTCAACTTGAGACACTGGATGATGTCCTGACAGGCTACTCAGGGCATTGGAATTACTAAGGCGCCAGGCCCTGACGGGTTACACCCGAGAGTACTTAGAGAGTTAGCAGGGGTTCTCTCACGTCCACTGGCCTCCATTTTTGAGACCTTGTGGAGAACGGGTGAAGTTCCAGAGGACTGGAGGGTGGCATCAGTGGTCCCAATTTTCAGAAAGGGTAGTAGAAAGGACATGGGGAATTATAGACCGGTTAGCCTTACGTCCATTGTAGGAAAAACAATGGAAAGGCTCATAATAGAGAGAGATCTAGTGATGCTAGATAGGGAAGGGAGGCTGACAGCCACACAACATGGCTTCCTCAAAAACAGGTTGTGCCAGATAAACTTTGTGGAATTCTATGACAAGGTTTTGAGATGGCTAGATGGAGGGGATGCAGTGGATGTGGTATACCTGGATTTCAGCAAGGCTTTTGACTAAGTGCCCCATGATATCCTGGTGGAGAAACTGAGGAGTTTTGGGATACACCAAAGCACTGTCCGGTGGATTAGGGCATGGTTGACTGACCGAAAGCAGAAGGTAACCATTAGCAGGGAATCATTGGGATGGTGGCCAGTGACAAGCGAGGTCCCCCAGGGCTCTATCCTGGGGCCGATCCTGTTCAATCTTTTCATTAACAACATGGAAGAAGGGGTGAACAGTCTGCTAATCAAATTTGCAGACGACACTAAAACTGGAGCAGTGGCCACAACTGAGGAGCAGGTACTCCAGATCCAAAAGGATCTGGACAGACTATGGAAGTGTGCAGGAGACAACAGGATGGCATTCAATGTGGATAAGTGCAAGGTCTTGCTCTAGGGGCATAGGAATAGCTGTCATAAGTACAGGTAGGGTGACAAGTGGCTGGAGAACAGCACTTGTGAAAGGGACCTCGGCGTACTGGTTGACTGCAGGCTAAACATGAGTCAGCAGTGTGATGCGGTGGTCAAGAGGGCAAACGCCACCCTTGGTTGCATAGCCAGAAGTGTGGCTTCTAGATCAAGAGAGGTATTACTCCCACTCTAGACGATTCTGGTGAACCCGCAATTGGAGTATTGTGTTCAGTTTTGGGCCCCTCATTACTGAAAGAATATAGCCAGGTTGGAGTCAGTGCAGCGTAGGGCCACAAGGTTGGTGGCCGGTTTGCAGGGGATGGGGTATGAGGCGAGACTGAGGGAACTGGGTCTCTTCAGCCTGGAGAAGAGAAGACTCAGAGGGGATATGTTGGTGACATACAGGTATGTGAGGGGATGTCACATGGAGATGGGTAGAGACCTGTTCTCCCCTGCAGAGGAAGGCAGAACACGCTCCGATGGAGCAAAGCTCAGGGAGCCAAGGTTCCGTTTGGATGCCAGGAAGCACTTCCTGACAGTCAGGACCCCGAGGGTGTGGAATAAACTTCCACAAGAGGTCCTTGAGGCCCCATCGGTGCGGGTGTTCAAGGATAGGCTGGATGCCCACATGGTGGGCATGCCGTGAGCTGATCCGGCTGGTGCCAGAGGTCAGACTAGATGCCCCGGGAGACCCCTTCTGACTCGCTCTGTTTCTATGTTTCTACTTTATTTAATATGAAAAGTAAATGTGCTCCGTTTTCAAAGTGTATACCCAGCGCTTCAAATAAATTTTCCAAGTTGCCAAGTTCTAAAGAAACTTTCTCTCTCTCTTTCTTTCTCTTTCGCTCTTCCTTCCTTCCTTTCTTTGACATAGCCAGGGTAGGATTAATTCAGCACGGGGTCACAGGGTTGGGGACGAGATTGGGAGAAATGCCTTAGGAGATGAGAGTGAGGGAGCTGGTCCTTCTCAGCCTCCAAGGGGATCTTAAAGTGACATACAGGACTAAACAGTGAAACACAAAAGAGCGTTGTGACCTGTTCTCCCAGAAGTGGAAGACAGGAAACTGTCCAATGGGGCAAAGCTCAAGCAGCCAGACTTCAGGTTATAGGTCAGGAAGTCCATCCTGATGGTCAGGACCTCAAGGATACAGAAAGGGCTTGCATGGGAGGTGGTGGAGGCCCCATCATTGAGAATGTTCAAGGAAAGTTGGAAAGCACATGCTGGAGCCAGGGGTCACACTAGATAGCCTGGGAGACCACTTCTGACCCCCTATTTCCCCATGTTTCCATGTATCTATGTTGGCTTGCTTTTTGGCTTTGCTAAAGAACACACTGGTATTACTGTCGTGGTTACTTTCATATTCTGCCTTTTTCCTTCCTCAATGGGAGTTTGCATGGTCTCCCTTCTCCCATGGTCCACTTTCTCCATACAAAAGTCCAATGAGGTAGGATAGGCCAAGAGTCAGTGACTGGTTCAACATCCTCCCCCTCCTCCTACCCAAAGTGAACTTCATGGCTGAGTATGAAGTAGGACCCGAGGTCAACAGCCCAATGGTGTAACAACCACGCCATGATTCTACTCCAGGGATTCAGTATTTCCTCACAATTTTCTGCAAAAATATTTTTTGCAGCAGCAAACAGGAAGCTGCACAGAGAGTTGCCTGTTGGGCAGAGGTCCTCCTGCACGTTGCAATTATTACACTCATATTAATTGGCACCAGCACCCCAGGGATTGTGCCAGGAAATGCTTTTGAGACCAGACACGGAAATAGCAGGTTCTGCTACAAGAGGAGGCAATATTTGGCACTGAGGATGGAATCAAAGGGGTGCTCATGCTTTCCCCACAGCTGAGGCTTGGGAGGTGCCTGACAACGGACAGGGAAGCTGCAACAGCATGGCTCAAGCAGCTTGTGCCTGGAGCAGAAGCTCCTCTGTTTCTGCATGAATAGAGCCACTGGCTGCCACATTCTTCTTGCAGGAGCTGCTTGGCTTTGCCTCTGGGAAAAGCCACAAGGCAGAAACCACAACAGGCATGCCCTCCAAGACCGTCCTGCTGCTCCTGCTGCTCCTGCAGCTCATCTGGGAAGCTGGGGCCAGGCAAGCAACAAGATGCCCCCTGCAGCTAAGGAGAGATCAATACGATCCCACAAATCTCTTCCGACCGGGAGACCAACTCATTGGCGGTGTCCTCCCTTCACTGATGGCCACAGAGCTACCGAGCTCCTTTGACAGACCGCCATTAATACGCATAAAAATGTAAGTGCTCCTACAGAGATGTATTTTGTGCTCCTCCAGTGAGGTTTGACCTTTTAAGACACCCAAACAAGCCCTGTCAAGCCCTGGGTTCTTGAAAAACAAGCCTCATCTTAGAGCCATCCTGCCATCTACACATTTCAGGATCCATTCCCTAAGTCGGAAAACTTGCTCATCATCTCTGCCACTGGGGATCATTCTCAACAGTTCCCGTTGATATCAGACTATAAAATGAGGTTGGAGTGTCATTTTAATTCCAACAAACAAACCTGCCTTTCCATCTGTACCTATCTGACAGAGCACAGGCTAAGCAACTTCCTTCAAATTTAAGTGCTGAACACCCTCTTGTGAATCTGTTCCTTCAAGACCACTAGGAAAACAATTCCACAACAGCAAAGGGCCACCAAGCAGATGCATGTTCAATGAGTTCCTGTCTTAGCAGCACACATTCCTTCATCCTGTACTATGAGTTCAGAAAGGGGTCTGCACCTCTAACTTAAAAGTCTCCACCAGTTTTACTTCCCTACAAACCTTAAGATGTGAGCAAACACCACAAACAGAATCACAGTTATTGCTATGAGCAATCTCCTTTCAAAACTCTTTCCATAAATTCTTTCAGAACTCTTTTCAAAATTGGATCAACTCTTTTCCCTTGGGATATTTCAGGGAGGTAGCAAAAGGTGTAAATATGGGAAAGGGGGAACTGGACCTGCCTTTTCCCAGCACTGTCTTTTAACTATATGTGTTTTCTTCTGAGTCTGCTACTTAAGGTATGAGAAACACGGTGTGCAAGAACACAGACAGGTGCAAGGGAATTCCAAGATGCCCGGTCAAAGTGTTCACAGCCTTCTCCTGTTCTAAAACACCTTGTTTGCCTCTCTCCAGAAATCATATTAGCTTGTGCATGTTAAGTGCACTCCCCAACTATCTGACACCCAAATTTCTCTGGGTGGTACACATCCACTAAACCAGCACAGAAATGAAATGTTGGTGCTTTGCACAATCCAAAGTCATTCTTCGGTTTTTCAAGACAACTCCAACAGCTCCTGAAATAGAAACTGCTAGCAATGGATTGCTTATGCAACTTTCCTTATAATGTCATCAAACCCATGGCATTCCTTGCTGAATACAGGAACTGCCTGGATGTTCAACCAGATCACTGTGGGAGATCCATGCTCTACCCCGCCTCCACTGAGCATTTATGAGGAATCTCATTCTCCCCCACCATGGATCAGGCATTCATGAACTTGCTGATGGGTGCAGGGTAGTCTCTAACAGGTGTGGGACCAGGCAAGGCAACTCTTTCTGGCCCCACACAACATCCAGGAGAAGGAAAAAGGGGAGAAATGGGGGTTTCTGGTGCTGCTTTTTGCAGGGGAATCACCATGGCCCCCTTCATGGATCACTACCTTGCTGTGACAAAGGGGCTTGTGTAGCTTGGTGAAGCTCTGAGTTATGGTGTGTTGCGGCGCCCAAGATGGGCAGGTCATAGCAGAGAGCTCTGACAAAATGAGATCCACTAGAGAAGGAAATGGCAACCCTTCCAGTATCTTTGCCATGAAACCCCCATGGACAGGACAAAAAGCAAAAAGATATGATACCGGAAGATGAGCCTCTCAGGTCGGAAGGTGTCCAATGTGCTACAGGGGAAGAGAAGAGGGCTAGTACTCATAGGGTCAGAAAGAATGAAGCAACTGGGTCAAAGTCTAAAAGACATTCAGTTGCAGATGTATCTGGTGGTGAAAGGTGAGCCTGATGCTGTACAGAAAATGACAATATAGGAACCTGGAATGTAAGATCCATGAATCAAGGCAAGCTGGACGTAGTCAAACAAGAGATGACAAGACCGAAAATCAACATCTTAGGAATCACTGAACTGAAATGGACAGGAATGGGTGAATTTAATTCAGATAACCATCAGGTATACTACTGCAGGCAAATTTCCCTCAGAAGAAATGGAATAGCCTTCATAGTCAATAAGAGAGTAGGAAAAGCAGTACTGGGATACAATCTCCAAAATGACGGAATGCTCTCAGTTAGAATCCAAGGCAGACCATTCAACATCACTGTAGTCTAAGTCTATGCCCCAACCACTGGTGCTGAAGAGGCTGAAGTTGACCGGTTCTGTGAAGACCTAAAACACCTTCTAGAATTAACACCCAAAAATGATGCCCTTATCATCATGGGGGATAGGAATGCTCAAGTAGGAAGGCAACAGATAACCAGAAAAACAGGCACGTTTGGCCTTGTGGTACAAAATGAAGCAGAACACAGGATGGTAGAATTTTGTCCAGAGAATAAGATGGTCATAGCAAACGTTCTTTTCCAACAACCCAAGAGACAACTCTTCACATGGACATCACCAGATGGTCAAAACAGAAATCAGATTGACTATGTGCCCTGCAGCCTAAGATAGAGAAGCTCTATACAGTCAGTAAAAACTAGATCATGAGATTCTGGTTGCAAAATTTAGGCTTAAATTGAAGAAAGTAGGGAAAAGCAATAGGCCACTCAGGTATGATGTAAATTCTATCTCTGATGAATAAACAGTAGAGGTGACTAATAGATTTAAGGAATTAGATCCAATAGAGTGCCTGAAGAACTGTGGATGGAGGTTTGCAACATTGTACAAGAGGTAGCAACTAAAACCATCCCAAAGAAAAAGAAATATAATAAAACAAAATGGCCATCTGAGGAAGTTTTACAAATTGCTGAGTAAAGAATCAAAGTGAAAGGCAAGAGTTAAAAGAGAAAGATACACCCAATTGAATGCAGAATACCAGAGAATTGCTAGAAGAGATAAGAATGCCTTCTTAAATGAACAGTGCAAAGTAATAGAAGAAAACAATACAATAGGGAGGACCAGAGATCTCCTAAAGAAAGTTGGAGATATGAAGGGAAAGTTTCATGCAAAGATGGGCATGATAAAGGACCAAATGGCAGGGACCTAACAGAGGCAGAAGAGATTAAGAAGAGGTGGCAAGATTACAGAAGAAAACAGAAAAACAGCTTAATGTTCCTGACAACCACGATGGGGTGGTCGCTGATCTCGCACCAGACATCTGGAATGTGAAGTCAAATGGGCCTTAATAAGTCTGAGAAACAGCAAAGCTGGTGGGGGAGACAGTATTCCAGCTGAGCTATTCCAAATCCTAAAAGGTGATGCAGTAAAAGTGCTTCTCTCAATATGCCAGCAAATTTGGAAAACTCAACAGTGATCACAGGATAGGAAAAGGTCCGTTTACATTCCGATCCCAAAGAAGGGCAATGCCAAAGAATGTTCAAACTACCACACCATTGCACTCATTTCATATGCTAGCAAAGTTATGCTCAAAATCCTACAAGCTAGGCTCCAGCAGTATGTGGACCGAGAACTACCAGAAGTACAGGCAGGATTTCGAAGAGGGAGAGGAACTAGAGATCAAATTGCCAACACACGCTGGATCATGGAGAAAACTAGGGAGTTCCAGAAAATCATCTACTTCTGCTTCATTGACTATGTTAAAGCCTTTGTGTGGATCACAACAAATTGTGCCAAGTTCTTAAACAGATGGGCGCACCAGACCATCTTATTTGTCTCTTGGGAATCCTATATGCAGGTCAAGAATCAACAATGAGAACTGGACACAGAACTATTGATTGGTTGAAAATTGAGAAAGGAGTTTGGCCAAGGCTTTATACTGTCTCCCTCCCTTTTTAGCTTATCTGCAGAGCACATAATGAGAAAGACTGGACTAGATGAATTACAAGTGGAATTAAGATTGCCATGAGAAATATCAACAACATCAGATATACAGATGATACCACTCCAATGGCAGAAAGTGAGGAGAAACTAAAGACCCTCTTGATGCGGGTGAAGGAGGAGACCACATAAGTTGGCTAGAAATGCAGCATTAAAAAAACTAAGATTATGGCTTCCAATCCTCTCACTTCCTGCCAAATACATGAGGAAGAAATGGAGGTAGTGACAGATTTTAGTTTCTTGGTCTCCAAGATCACTGCGCACAGTGACTGCAGCCATGAAATTAAAAGATGCTTGTTCCTGGGGAGGAAAGCTATGGCAAATCTAGACAGCATACTAAAAAGCAGAGACATCACCCTGCCAACAAAAGTGCATATAGTCAAGGCTATGGTTTTCCCAGTTGCAATGTATGGCTGTGAAAGCTGGACCATAAGGAAGGCTGAGCGCCAAAGGATTGAGGCCTTTGAATTGTGGTGCTGGAGGAGACTACTGAGAGTCCCTTGGACTGCAAGGAGGTCAGACTAACAGGAGATCATCCCTGACTGCTCTTTAGAAGGCCAGGTACTGAAGATGAAACTCAAATAGTTTAGCCACTTAATGAGAAGGAAGGATTCACTGGAGAAGGCCCTAATACTGGGAAAAATTGATGGCAAAAGAACATGGGGATGGCAGAGGATGAGGTGGATAGATGGAGTCACTGGGACAGTGGGTGTAAGCTTAGGTTGACTCTGGGGGATGGTGGAAGACAGGAGAGCCTGGAGGAATGTTGTCTATGGGGTCGCAGTGGGTCGCACATGACCTCACTTCTGGCAGGAAAGCAAGCAGCCATGGCCTGCACAGCAAGCAAATGCAGCGATGTCCTGAGCTACTTTCCCCACAGCTGTCCTCCATTGAGTTCCATGTGCCTTATATGGCAGTCAGAATCTTAAATGGAATGTCATTTCCTTCTGAGTAGCCATGCACTTCAGCTAGTTTTTCCTCCTGGCAAGATGACAAAAGAGGCATGAAGAAAATAGAGAAAGGTTCCCTTATAGCTTTTATAAGGACTTAATAGCATTTGATAAAATGATTTTAGAATCAGGTGAAAAAATGATTACAAGGTTGTATAACTTTCTTTTAGATATGAAAATGGTAGATGAACAAGTTAAAGAGACTATGATAACATGGGCACAAAACTTTAGGTATAATATTGAGTTACAAAAATGGCAAAAGCTGTGGGAAAGAAATATTTAGATAATTCTAGCATCTTCATATAAAGAAAACCTTTATAAAACCTTTTACATATGGTATCTGTCACCCAGTATATTAGCAAAACTGTTTCCAAATATGTCAAATAGATCTTGGAAATGTAAACAAACACCTAGTACCTTCTATCATTTGTGGTGGACATGTGTTAAGGCAAAAAAGTATTGGGTTTAAATACACAAGTGGCTTGAGGAAATGCTGCATAAACCATTAACATTTAAACCTGAAGTCTTTCTATTAGGCATTATTCCTGATAATTTTGATAAATAAATTTTATATATAACTTTACATATAACAACTGTGGCGCGGATTGCGTTTGCTCAACATTGGAGAAGTGAAGAGCCACCTAATGAAGAGTTGATTTTAAAAAAGATCTTGGACTGGGCAGAGATAGACAGATTTACTTTGTCTTTGAAGGAGAAGGAAAATACGTACTTCTATCAAACTTGGAATATTTTTTACCATTGGTTAGAGAAACAGAACTATGCGTAGAATTGAATATAGTTATTAAATGTAAAAAAAAAAAAAGAGTGTGATGTCGACCCAGTATATCCGATGTCCTGAATAATTGTTGTTTCTAATTTTGAATTTATAGAGAAATTAATAAAATTGTTAAAAGAAAAAGGAAATTGAGAAAGGTGTTGCAGAGATGTCAAAGTTTTTTCAGAGTCTTACGGGGTGCGGGGGCATCTTTGTAGCAAAGTCACTTCTGAAGACATGGCATGGCATACTGCAGGAAAAAGAGCAGAGGAATGTCCATACTAAGGATTGGCCCCACCAAGATTTCTGGTCATACAGGAGCAAGGACCCTGCCAGCAGGATGTGGGGACAGCACAGGCCTCAAGCCCAGGTTCCGCAGCAAACAGCCTCCCATACCTGGAAAACTAGCAATATGAAAAAAACAGAGGAGCTGTCCAAGGCTTTCAGAGAATGCTGCACTGCATGGAAGCTTTTTCTGATCCAGCACAACTCTTCCTATGGTATTTTCCTCCCATACTGTGCTCCTCAAGTTCTGCCTGATCCTGAGACACCCACACATATCAGAGCCCTCCACATTCCCTGGGGTGTCTCTGGCCAGCTCAGAGGACTTCTGCTGTTGATTCTGGGCCCCTCTTTCCAGCAGGAGCATTTGGCCACTCTTCCAGGAGGACACGGCTTGCTCCCACTGTCCGAACTGGAAGGCTCACACAGATGCAATCACCAGGACTTAGGCAGGAGGAAGCCCCCAGGGAAAGCAGAAAATGCCACCAGAGAGGGAAAAATGATGCAACCTTGCACTACTCCAGTTCATGGTTTTAAGGTTATTTAGCTTTAGTTAGTTAAATTTTCCATACTGTTCATTAGTAACAGAGCTCTCAGAATAGAGAAGGTGTTGAATCAACAAGCAATGGTAGGTCTGTTGCAGCAAGTTACATAGGTTAGTTTATTTTACTAAAACCAGTTACATTTATCTTAAAATATCGATGAGAAACATCTCTTTTGCTGCAGACAACCAGATGTAACCTACTTCTATGACCTGGCCTTCTTGCATGCCATCCATGAGATCAACCAGAATCCGGACCTCCTGCCCAACGTTTCTCTAGGCTACAGCATCAACGAGAACTATTACTGTGCCCGGATCACCTATGATATTGTGCTGGATCTGCTGTCTCCTGGGCAGAAGAACATCCCAAACTATATGTGTGGGAGACAGAGGGACCTGCTGGCTGTTGTGGAAGGGGCTGACTCGGAAATTTCCAGCCATATTTCAGCCCTGTTGGGGACCTACAAAATCCCACAGGTAGGCATCTCACAGCTTATGTCTCATTCCATAAGATATTTGAGCACATTTCCAGTGATAGTGACCATAGTGCTCTTTCACTTAATACACTACAAGCTGTATTTATCTCTCTGATTCAACAAAATGGACATCTGCTGGGAACCAGAGGAGAAAAAAGGAAGTCACCATGTTTCCCATTCAAGGGAGCAGACTATTTAACGTGCACCATTTCCAACTGGCAAATGCCACTCCCAGGTCCTTCAGTTCTAAAATCAAGCAAGAAAACCCAGAAGGATCCAATATTTCTGGTTCAGCACCATTCACGCCTGGAGGGGAGGGGAGGGGAGGGGGAGTCGCTTTGGTTTACTGAGCCTCCATCTCCCTCACAGGACTTCTGGTCCCTTCGAGGCCAGGGCTGGAGTGCCTCTACATGGTGTTGGGTGACCGAGACAGATTGGGGATTCTGTTGGTGTACCGTGCACCCTTCTGCCCAACAATCTCCCTGCCTGAGCTGATGGAGATCGTCTTGGACCGGGTGTTGAGGACCCCCAGGATGTTGGTCCTGGGGGACTTCAATCCCCATTCCAAGACTGGTCTGACCGGGGCAGCTCAGGACTTCATGGCCTCCATGATGGCCATGGGGCTGTCTCAACATGTCACCGGCCTGACCCATGAACGTGGACACACTCTGCACCTGGTTTTCTCAAAGGGGCAGGAAGAGGGTGGTCTGAGGGTGAGGAATTTATGTCCGACTCCCCTGTCATGGTCAGATCACTTCCTGGTGAGGTTTGTGCTCAAGAACGACCTCTCCCTCTTTAAGGGTGCGGACCCAATTGTGTGGGTCCGCCCCCTGAGCCGGATGGATCCGGGTGGATTCCTGAAGGCCCTGGGGGAGTTTCCAGCTGACAGGACTGGTGCTCCTGTCGAGGCTCTGGTTGAACTGTGAAACGGGGAGATGACCAGGGCTGTTGACACGATCGCCCCTAAGCATCCTCTCCTGCCGGGCAGAGCCCACTCTTCCCCTTGGTATACACCTGAATTGCGGGCGATGAAACAGGCTGGGAGACAGCTAGAGCATAGGTGGAGGAGATCACAGGATGAATCTGACCAAACACACTTAAGAGCCCATTATCGGGCCTATGCTGTGGTGGTGAGGGCGGCGAAAAAGAAATTCTTTTCCGTTTCCATTGCCTCCTCAAAATGCCGTCCGGCACAGCTTTTTTGAGTGGTACAAGGCCTGGTTTGCCCTGGCCCTAAGAAAGATCTGGTTCCACCCTTGAAGGCCCACTGTAATGACTTTGCCAAGCATTTCAGGGAGAAAATCGCTCAGATTCGTTACGAGCTAGACTCTACTAGTGATTCAAAGGTTTCTGGGGAGATACCAATGTCACTGTCTGGTCCAAAATTAATGGATGAATTTCAGTTATTGCGGCCTGATGATGTGGACAAGGTGCTTGGACGAGTACGTCCCACCACTTGCCTATTGGACCCTTGCCCATCTTGGTTAATAAATAACACCAAGCATGGAATTGGGATCTGGATCATGGAAGTGGTTAATGCTTCTCTGAGGGAGGGTCGGGTACCTGCCCCTTTAAAGGAGGTGGTAGTCCAACTGGTCCTGAAGAAAGCGTCACTGGATCCAGATATGGCCACTAATTATAGACCAGTGGCCAACATCCCGTTTCTGGGCAAGGTGTTGGAGCGGGTGGTGGCGGGACAACTACAAGCATTCTTGGATGAAACTGATTATCTGGACCCATTTCAGTCCGGCTTCAGACCCAGGTATGGTACTGAATTTGCCTTGGTCACCCTGTATGATGACCTGTGCAGGGAGAAGGACAGGGGGAGTGCGTCCCTGTTGGTTCTCCTGGACCTCTCAGAGGCGTTCGATACCATCGACCATGGTATCCTTCTGGATAGGCTAGCGGGATTGGGGGTCGGAGGCACTGCCTAGCAGTGGTTCTGCTCCTATCTCAATGACTGATTCCAGAAGGTGGTGCTGGGGGACTATATCTCGGCACCATGGCAGCTATGCCATGGAGTACTGCAGCGATCCATTTTGTCCCCTTTGCTGTTTAACGTCTACATGAAACCGCTGGCAGAGGTCATCAGGAGCTGTGGGCTGCGGAATCATCAGTACGCTGATGATACCCAGTTCTACCTCTCGTTTTCCACCAATCCAGGTGAGGCAGTGGCTGTACTGAACCGGTGCCTGGCCGAGGTAATGGGCTGGATGAGGGCCAGTAAACTGATGCTCAATCCAGACAAGACAGAGGTCCTGTCTGGATTGGGCTTCGGTGAGGATGAATTGAACCTGGTCCTGAATGGGGTTGCACTCCCTCTTAGGGACAAGGTCCACAGCTTGGGAGTGCTCCTTGACCCAGAGCTTTCACTGGAAGCTCAGGTGACAGCGGTGGCGAGGAGTGCTTTCTTTCAGCTTCAGCTGATCCATCAGCTGCGCCCCTACCTGGAGTACGACTGCCTGGCGACAGTGACACATACGTTGGTGACTTCCCGCCTTGACTTCTGTAACGCGCTCTACGTGGGGCTACCCTTGAAGACAGTCCAGATACTTCAATTGGTTCAGAATAGAGCTGCCAGGCTGACGGGGACTGGGCGTTATGTTCACATGACTCCAGTCCTCCGTCAGCTTCACTGGCTTCCCATTGAAGTCCGGGCCCAATTCAAGGTGTTGGTGATGACCTATAAAGCCTAAACGGCTTGGGTTCTGGTTACCTGAAGGAACGCTTACGTCCATATATGCCCACCCACCCCCTGAGATCTGTGGGAGAGGCCCTTCTCCAGGAACCCTCCGTGAAGGAAATTAGGAGGGTGAGTACTCGGAGGAGAGCTTTCTCTGCGGTGGCGCCCAATCTACCCAATCTATGGAATGCGCTCCCCAAAGAGGTACGCCTGGCACCGTTATTTGTTTTTCGGTGCCAGGCAAAGACCTTTTTATTCAAATGTCATTTTAACTGCTAATAGTATTTATTTATTTTATTATTTGGCCAGGGCAAATTATTTTATACTGTTAATGTATATTATTGTAATTGAAGTTATTTATGTTGTGAGCCGCCCTGAGGCTTCGGCGAATGGGGTGGCATAGAAATTTTCTAAATACATAAATAAATGTAAAAATAGATAATTTACCAGAAATCTGAACATGAAAAGAATGTCATGGGGTCTCTGCAAAAGCAAGTGAGTGAGGAAACCCCACTATGTACTTTATGACTTTTTGGGTCAAGTTAAGTCCTTGCCTTCCTCACAGGTCCCCTTCCCCCCCACAGAATCTCCTCTGGAATTGGTGGGACTAATGGAGATACCCAAGAACAACTTCCTTGGGGTTACATAATCTTGACATGAGTTCTCTTCAGGTCTTTCTTATTTACTTTGTCTGCAGCCTGGAATTTTTTTGCCCTCTCTACATATCTTTGGCCAAACCCCTGTGTGCACCATGTAGAGGAAACCTGACAACTCTTCAATTCTAAAATGTTGTTTATTGGAAGGGAGAAGCACTGAAATACATGCAACAAGGGGTTGCTTCATGCAACAGGCCACTGAGTGGTGGATCTTGCAGCTGACCCTGCAGATCGGCTTTGAAGGGGATTTGACTAATCCCATTCCTTTGGTTAACCGATCAGCCACTTCTTTTCTTTACTGCCACTTTCTCCAAGTAGTTGCCAACATCCAAGTAAGAACCAAGCAAGGGGTTGCAGAAAAGGCCCTCAAACTATGTCAAAGCCAGGACGTAGGGAAATCAAAGTGAGGAATGCACTTCTGAGGGAAATACCCTGATCCACTTGTGGTTTTTTCTGGCTACACCTAGCACAGCAGCGCCTGGGCTTCTCACTTGCTTCTGTTGGCCAGAAATGAACAAGGAAATGTCCTTTGACATGGCTTCAGACCAAGAGGCTAGCAAAGACCTCTCCTTGGGCAATGGAAAATGAAAGCAGTCCAAGCCCATTTGTTAGCATGAATATAGAGGAATAATTTCCACACATAGGTCCAACCTCCCTGAACGTGATGATGTCACGTCACAGGACTCCCCTATTGTGACTACCTCCTTATGCTAGCAAAGAAGCATATCTCTGAAAACAAGTTGCTGAAAGAATTTGGAGTGGATGCCCTCCTGTTCCACTGCTGGGATTCCACAGGCAGCAAGTTTGCCATTCTACCAGTAGGGAGGTGGACTAGATGGCACTTATAGACCCCATGGGTATTGGAGCCCCTTTCCAGGATATCGTGCGGCACCCAAGAGGGGCGGGGGGAAGGTTGTGATTGTAGAACCTCTTGCTTTGTGTTGGGGTTTGTGTTCCAGAGCAAAATTTGTGTCTCTTTTCTTCCTTGGCAGGTCAGCTATGCCTTTGTCACCCATGACCTGAAGGATAAGGCCCAGTTCCAATTTTTTTACCGTGTGGTCCCCAAAGACAGAGACCAGTACCTGGGAATTGTCCAGCTGCTCCTTCATTTCAGATGGACATGGATTGGTCTCTATGTTCCAGACAATGACAACGGGGAATGGTTCATGCAGGCCATGACTCTTCTGCTCACAATGAACAGCATCTGTGTTGCCTTCACACTGAGATTCCAAGAAAGGAATGTTCTGAAATACAACATTTCCGTTCCACCTGCTCTCCTATGGAGACAAGTCAAAGTCTTTGTCTACTATGCGGAAACTCGCTCTTTCAATGATGGAATGTTCTTTCTACAAAAAATGCTTGATCTCTGGGCAGAACCTGCTCAAGGCAAGGTCTGGCTCACAACAGCCTTGTGGGACATCAGCTCAACAGTGACCCGAAGATTTTCCTCTAGGAAGCACAGCCATTGGTTCTTTTCCTTCTCAATCCAGACAAGCAACAGGCCAAAGGGGGGCAACTTTGATCATATTGGCCCTTACATGTCAAAAGCATTTCGTTGCTCATATTCCAAATACACTTTGTCAGTTAAAGGGAGGAGAAGATGTGAGCAGAAGGAGAACTTGCCCCTGGAGGTGCTTCAACTGACTCTGTCGGAGAACACCTACAATGTCTATAGAGGTGTCCAGATGGTGGCAAGAGCCTTGCACATGGCGCATGGTTCCACATCACAGCAATGGGCAAAGGTGGCAGGAGAAAGGCTGGACTTTGGGAAGCTGCAGCCATGGCGGGTATTCCTTTTCCTTCACATGTCTCTTTTGCATAAAGGACAGAATTACTCACTGGTGGGAGCAGGGCTGGCAGATTTGGCATCTGGCAAAACTACCCAGAAGAGGACACTAGGAGCACTGGTCTGCCGGACAGAGGCCAGTGGAAGCTATAATTTCTGCTGGCCAGGAAAAGGGCTTTGTTTCATCCCCTTCCCATTGTCTGACAGGCGCTCATTAAGTGTGGCCCAAATGAGATGGCCAGCATGGGCTGGATGGCTGTGATGGTCAAGGTTTGGGGTTCAGGAGCAGAGTGAATCCAGGCAAACCATGCAGTTAAGTTTCATGATGCTAAATGGGCAGGAGTGAGGGAAGCAAAGCATGGAGAGGCTCATATGTGGTGGGCACAGCCCATGAGGGCAAAGGAGCGGAATGGGGGGAATCTGAACTTTGCTCCATTGCAATCTTTGGCTGGGTCCCCAAAATGCACCCTCTGACTCACTCAGACATTTTGAGCTCAATGTTCCAATTTTTCAAACGTTGCAGGGGGCTATACCAGCCACTACTCTCCACAGCATGGCTGGACTAAGAGAAGGATCTGCCATTGGGTGACCACCAACAACACCAGCTTCAAAGTGTCTGCTGGGGGCCCTCCAAGGCTGTAGGGCTGTGCATCATGGCCCTGCAGTGTGCCCATACAAGCACCAGAGACATCGAATTCAAGAATTCCCCACAGGATGCCAAACTATATTGATGAATTTGTTTCAGATTTTTTTTTCTCAAAAATGAAGCAAGGGAGTAGAACATGGAGTGAACACCACAAGCAACATTTTGAGATTCAAACTCAATGAGGAAAAACGATTGCTGTGGACATCCAGACCTCCAAGAACTTTCTGGCAAGCTCCTATGCCAAAACCCTTAGGGGCCAATCTACCTGAAGGTGTTCTGGGTCACCCTGTGGCCACTTTGTCTTCCCCTGGAATCCCCTTCCTTTTTGAACCACATGTTCAAAGTGGAGAAACTCCCTCCCAAATCAGCACAAAGCTGAAAAATGGGACTCAGGAATGGAGCTCAGTTCTGCTTTGATTTCAATTGCATTTGAGCCAAAAGGACACTGCCAAGAATGGCATGGAGGATACCTGCTGCCATCTGAAATTGAGAGAATGGGCAGTGCCAAAATGACTGGCATTGTTTCTACTCTTCTCTCTCTTTCCAGCTGCACCCTTTCCTGAGAAAGTATGGCTTCTCCAATGCCTCCCTGGATGGACTGTACCTGGATGGAGACGGGGAGCTGACGGCCAGCTTTGATATCCTGTTATACTGGCTGGAAAACACCACTTCACTAGTGAAAGTGAAGGTTGGGGGTCTAGAGAGGCAGGAATTGTCAATACCTCTGTTGCACCTGGAGGAGAATCCCAATGCATGGCCTAACCAAGTAAGGCAACCCATGTCTTCTGATCTTATACAAATTACGGCAGAGGGCACTACCACAGCCCTTGTGGACTGTGCTGTTGATGCAGCAAAGCTAAAGGAACCATGCCAAGCTCTCCACACCCTATTTTTTCCTCTCTTAGGGATGTGTGAGAGATCCATTCTGGAGAATCCATTTTGGGAATCCACTAGACCCCCTGGCCTGGGCTGCCCAGAAACTGAATTTGATTTTTCATAGCTGCTGCATACTAGTGAACATTTTCACTGAGCTTTTACAGCATGCCAAAGATCTCTTTCTTGGTACTTCACCAGTTCACAGCCCACCAGCTTAAACATGGAGTTGAGGGTTCTTTGCTAACTTATGATTTCCTCTACACTTGCTGGCACTCAGGGGCATTGGCCATTTTGACATTCACTTCACTAGATTGGGTAGATACCATTAGAGCTCTTCGTGATGCATCTTCAATCTATCATTGTTCGTTCTTCCAGCTTCCCCACTTGCACTTTCTCCTCAATATTCCTTCTCGGTATTTACAGACCCTCCCACAGTCAAGGTGTTCCAATAGCTGCACCCCTGGATACGTCAAAGTTATTGTGAAAGAAAAGCCAGTTTGCTGCTATGCTTGTGCTCTGTGTGCAGAAGGGACCATCTCCACTCAGGAAGGTAAGCAGGGACATAGAAAAGTTACACGGAATCACGTCAATTGAGAAATCATTTTCCAAAATATTGGAATATTGGAAAACGCAACCAGCAACCCCCTTAAAGGGCGAGGAAGGGGGCGAGAATGGTCTCTTCCACTGCAGGAAGCTTCAGTCAAGGTCAGTTTATACTGTCCAGGATTCGTTGTGGGTTTAGAAAGGCAGAACTCTAGAACACAAAAGAATAGAGAGAACTAGAGCTGATACCAAACAAACCCCTTTTCCTTTTTTTTCCTCCTCCTCCTCAGATGCAGAACATTGCACCAGATGTCCAGAAGATCAGCATCCAAACAAGAAGCAAGATCGATGTGTCCTCAAAGTTTCCACCTTCCTGTCCTATGAGGAATTTTTGGGGATAATCCTTAATTTCTTTGCCCTGCTCTTGTCCTTCAGCACGAGCTGTGTGTTAGCAATCTTCATTAAAAATCTGGAAACACCAATCGTCAAGGCCAACAACCGAGACCTCTCCTACATTCTGCTCATCTCCCTTCTCCTTTCCTTCTTGTCCTCTTTACTGTTCATTGGCCAACCAAGGCTAGTGACCTGCCTTCTGCGGCAGACAGCCTTCAGCATCATCTTCTCAGTGGCTGTCTCTTCTCTCTTGGCCAAAACCATCACTGTGGTGCTGGCCTTCCTGGCCACCAAGCCAGGGAACAGGGTGAGGAAATGGCTGGGGAAGTGTTTGGCCAACTGTATTGTTATCACCTGTTCCACTGTTCAAGTTGTGATCTGCACCATTTGGCTGGGCACCTCTCCACCCTTCCCTGACTCAGACATGCACTCCCAGGAAGGACTGATCATCCTGCAGTGCAATGAAGGCTGTGTGGCCATGTTCTATGCTGCCCTCGGCTACATGGGCTTCTTGGCTGCCGTCTGCTTCACGGTGGCCTTCCTGGCCAGGAAGCTTCCCGGGGCCTTCAATGAGGCCAAGCTGATCACCTTCAGCATGCTGGTCTTCTGCAGCGTCTGGGTATCCTTCGTGCCCACCTACCTGAGCACGAGGGGAAAGTTCATGGTGGCCGTGCAGGTCTTCTCCATCTTGGCCTCCAGTGCTGGGCTGCTGGGCTGCATCTTCCTGCCCAAGTGCTACATTATCCTTCTGAGGCCTGACCTGAATACAAAGGAGCATCTAACAGCCAAAAAGGAAAATGGCATGTGATACTTCAAATAGATTTTTAAATACTATTTGTTTTTTTGAAATGGTCAAGAGAATCTCTTAATAACCAGAGTAGTGATGTGAGGAACTGATGCTGAAAGGGGGTAGCTAGAAAGGAGGGATGAAAGTGTGCAGAGAGGAAGATGGGGGACTTGAGGTCATTTTTCAGGAAGAGTGAAGGACATGATGCCTCCTCCCACTGAGAGTCCTGGCCAGGGAAGGCAGGCTCCTTCTACTGGCAGAGAAATACGAAGCATTAGGCAGGGTTTTTTTTTTTAATATTAGCAAAGCATGAGATAACTTATGGTGCTGTTCTGCTATAGAAGGGAAAGACATCAATTGAAGTCAAGCAGGGTAAACCTCAGAAAAGGAACTTCCAGCTTTTGAGGGAAGTCTGAATGTCCACTTTACAAAATTCTGGAGAGCCCAAGCCTCGGGACTCCATTCTCCCCCATGGCCTGATCCATCTTTTGTCAGTTCAGCCCCATGCCAGGCTTGCTTAAGCCTCGGGAGAGCAGGGTCCCCACCTGGCACTCTGCACATGGACTAGTTTTGCCCATGACTCACGTGGCAGCAGGAACTCACTTCACTGGACTAAACTCCAGGACTGGCAGCTCCTTTGAGCTCACCCTTTCTGCAGATGGGATTCCTGCTCCTCCGGTCTCTTCTCTTACTTGCTAAACCAGTTTTAGTGCTCTTTGTTCACAGAGGTTAAGACATGTGGTTGTGTGATTCACACTGTGCTGCTTTGTATTAGAATTTTGAACACCCTTTGGGTGTACTTAAAGGTTATGCATCTCTCTTTCATATAATAAAAAAATCATATTCTACACACGTTATCTGAAAATAAATCCTGAAATAACATGCAGAAACTGAGGTATTATGTTTCCAATTCCTGCAATGGGCCTTGTGCCTCTTGGGGGAACCACAGCTGGAACATCTACATGGGTCCCAACTAAAACACAGTGGCAACACCGCACCAGATTCCTAGAGGACAACCAAGCACTAATACATCTTCACCTGGTTGACAAATCTCTAGCGTATTCCAAGCCCCTAAATGCTGATACCTTTCCACCACAAGTACACACAAACACACACAGAAATTTCCATGAACAAGGTATACCAACTTCCCCAGACCATTGCTGCTATTACATGCTGTGAGGTCTTCTCCAACTTCAGGTGAGCCTGTGTATGAAAGCCCTCAAAGATGCCCTGCCCTCCACTGCCCTGATCACCTCTTCTAAATTCAAAGCTGTGGATTCCTTTGTGGAATCAATCCATCTCACATCTGGTCTTTCTCTTCTTCTGCTTTTGACCTTCGCTATCATGATGGTCTTCTCCAGGGAGACTTGCCTTCTAGTGATGTGCCTCCAGAACCACACCTTACTGTGGTGAGACTGTTTTGAGTGCCAGAGAAGCTGAGAGCAACATCATCAGAAAACCAGACCTCCTCACCAGGCTGGTCTCCCAGCAGGTTCACCCAAGCTGGAAGGGTCCAAGCAGAGACACTAGGATGCACCCACCCTCTTCAGGAAGAACAGTCACATCAGCGGAAGAGAAGGGATCTCTCCAATGGTGATGGGGACAGAGGAAGTTCTGAAGGGCAGCTCCTGGACAGCAATGGTAGCTGGTGACATGGGCAGAGCATCTTCTGCACACAGTGACAGTGATGCGCCAGTTAACCCTGCTCAGAACTGCACCGAAGGTGGCCATGGTAACCCACTTCTGTATCTTACCTTGAAAACCTTGTGATGAAACAGTCCAAATGTTAGGCCTCCAATGAATACATATCACTGAACCATACCAGTAGACAGTTTCTGGCCTGACAAGCCCACAACCTGACAAGGAGGTTTTGGACCAGTTCAGTGGTTTCTGCTGTCTCAGTTCCTGCAAATAAAGCTTGGATAGTAGTTATCCTCCTGTGATCCTAGGAATATTCCTTATTCCAAATCTGAAAAAGAATCATTTGCTTTTATCAATAATCAGAGACAGATGATAAAGCCAAGTTTCCTTTTATTCAAATAAATCCAAGTTCACAAAACTCCGGAAGGATTATGGTATGATTCAAGAGATTCCAGAATTAAATGTTTTGTAAATCCAACTTAATATCCGTCTCATGGGCCTTGGGTAGGAAGTCTGTCCTTGCTAACAGACAGTCAGCTCATCTGAAATAGCTACTCCCAACAATGGCAGGACACCAAAAAGATACGAGAAGGGACCTGGGCATACTATAACAAGGCAAGATGCCCCGTACCTACTTATGCAACAACGACAGTCAGGAATGCTTTGGGAGGGTGCAGTGGGGTTTACAATTCTGTCCCTGATTTAATCAGAAATCTTGCGTATTTGTGTATCTAGATTTGCACCTAATTCTCTAGAACAGCAAAAAGACCCATTTCATCTGGATTTAGTGTCCAGAGACTAGAGGGTCTCCTATAATAAATCTGAATATTTACAGAAACACGTGAGTTACTATGTACAGTCCAGCTCGCACTATTTTTCCATGAAGGGGAAATGGAACTAAAGATCTGCATACAGAGTAATCAAAATGCAATAAGGTTTTGCTTTCAGGACATGGCTTTTGGTCTACAGAAGCCCCTTTCCACGTTCTTAGTACAAGAAGCTGTCCTGGATTCAGACCTGAGACTTACTACTTGTGAAAGGTGCAACAAATAAGAATAAAATGCTGCTTTTGCAATAAATTTTAAACAAACCAAGTGAATCATAGAAATGATCAAAGTTAACAGCAAGCATTGTTAAAAATCAAGGAAGCAAATAATTTGCAGGGCACATGGAGTCCGGCTTTAGTGGGGGAAGTTATTGTGCTGACAGGAAAGATAAGTGAACTACTTATGCTGACAAAAGGATTAAATGGGAACTTGGAGGGAGTGATGACCTGCCTGGAATGGATGATGAAAGGCATTTGGACAATAAAAAGAGCATCTAAAACCATATAAGGTAGAGAACAAATAGTGGACGAGGGTCTTTGAACATGTGGTAGTGGGAGATGTGAACAGGGGCGGTACTTCACGTGATCACGCAGACGGGATAGGCTGTAACCCCAATGGACCCTATCCAATGGGGTCTCAGGGGAGGGAAATATGCAGCCAGATACAGGGATAAAATGGAGTGATTCAAGCTGATTGTGTGTGCCTACCTGTTGGGTGCACCTGCTTTTGCAAAAGCGATTCTTTTAATAAATTAGTGCTGCTTGAATTCATGGTTGTCAGAACTTTGTTTTCTAGGAATGTTGCTCACAAAGGGGACCAGTTCCCCCAGGCAGGTTCTCCTCCTTTTGACGCACATGACTTTTGAACTACATAAGCCTTAATTCTCCCATTGCACTCTGGAGCAATGAATGCACTAATTGGGACAAAGACCACAAGGCTGAAACACATCCAGCAGCATTAATCATTAGTCAGTGCACATACTAAAGATTTAGCAAGCCCTCTCTTCATTGGAAGACACTTGGTTAGATAGCGCTGTCAGAACATTTCCATTTTAAAGTTTTAGGGTCTTTCTACTCGTGTAAGTGCAACCTACAACCAAAGGGTGCCAGTGCATAACAGTTCTCCATCCAGGACGCCAGCCAAGCCCTTCTCAGCATTGTTCCGTTACAGTCCTTTTATTTTCAACACACACCACCAAGGAATATGCTGCATTTAGAGTATGCGCTTTAAGATTCTGCCCACTTGATCCAAAAATTTCTTATTCATCAGTGAATGGGAGAAAAAATAAATAAAAGGAGGATTGCTAAAATAATAAGAGAGCAGAGACCTGAATACCTGGCTGCTAGGCAGGACTTGTCTGGGGAAGGGTCAGCAAGTTCTGAGGGAAGGACCCCAGAGTAACATCCCCTCTCCTCCACTCATCAGAAATACACTTGAAAGCATCTTTGCTCAACGGCTGGAACAGCACTTCCCAGACTGCTGGGGGTTGCAGTCCAAGACCTGTGGAGGGCAGAAGGCTGGCTGGAACTTATCAGGCCAGAAGAATGAGAAAAGCAGAGCTATTTATTGGAAGGGGCATGAGTGGCACAGGGGGCTTGTCATTCCAAAGGTTGGCAGTTCGAATCTACACAACCGGGTGAGCTACCATCACTTAGTCCCAGCTTCTGCCAACCTAGCAGTTCAAAAGCATGCAAATGCAAGTAGATAAATAGGTAACACTTTGGGGGGAAGATAACAGCGTTCCATGAGCTTCAGTGTTGAGTCTTGAGGGCCACATGACCACAGAAACTGCAGATGAACAGATGAACTCTGGCTCCCTCGGATAAGAAACGGAGATGAGCACCACCCCTTAGACTTGGACACGACTGGACTTGATGCCAAGGGGAAACCTTTACCTTACTTTTTACCTATTTAGCTGAAACAAGCCAAAAGAAAACAATTACAAATGCCCATGTGTTCTTAAGAGGAGATTGCTACAGCATCACAGCAGAATGGAGTGCTGCGCATATTCCCCCTGCAAGCTTATGGCTTTCTTTCCCCTTTGAGTTCGAACGTGAAACGAGTGAGCATTCAACTTCCTTGGCACTCTCCTGCATACATGAAAATGGAACCAGTCACTCCACTGCTCTCAACCAGTCCCAGCAGCTCTCCGCTCTTGCACTGAATCCATTTGGGACTAAACCCAGGGACACCTCCCCTCCAGTGCGTTTCATGAGCCCTGGGGTGCCATCATCCCAGGAAACATTTTATTCAGTGATGCTGTGTGGGGGTAGGAAATAGCTCGTTCCCACCTAGTACTGTGATCACGTGTGTGACTCCTCCACTGTGTGACCCCTTTGATGGGAAGTTAGGCCAGAGTTTGTTCCAAAGTTCATGCCACACACTGAGCAGGTAAATGGCCTCTCACCTGTGTGTGTTCTTTGATGGGAGCTCAGGTGTGTCAGCTGGATGAAGCTCTTTCCACACTCAGAGCATTTATATGGCTTCTCCCCTGTGTGGATTCTCTGGTGCTTTGTGAGATTTGTACTCTCGGTGAAGCTCTTTCCACATTCGGCACATGTATACGGTTTTTCCCCAGTGTGGATTCTTTGATGCTTCATGAGGCTTGTGCTGTCACTGAAACTTTTCCCGCACACTGAGCATTTATACTGCTTTTCTCCTGTATGAACTGTTTCATGTGAGCACAGCTGTGAACTCCTCGTGAAACTCTTTCCACACTCCAAGCAAGTATAAGGTTTTTCTCCAGTGTGGATCCGGTGATGCTTCATAAGGTTTGTGCTCTCTCGGAAGCTTTTCCCACATTCTGCGCATATATAAGGTTTCTCCCCAGTGTGGATTCTTCGGTGTGAAGTAAGGCTCGAACTCTGGCTGAAGCTCTTTCCACAATCCAAGCATGTATATGGCTTCTCCCCTGTGTGGATTCGGTGATGCTTCCTAAGACTCGTGCTCTCGTTAAAGCTCTTCCCACACTCAGAGCATCGGTAAGGTTTATCCCCTGTGTGGATTCGGAAATGTCTTCCAAGGCTGGAGCTCTCACTGAAGCATTTTCCACACTCTGTGCATGTATATGGCTTCTCACCAGTGTGGATTCTTTGATGTGAGCTCAGGTGTGTGCGCTGGATGAAGCTCTTTCCACACTCTGAGCAAGAATATGGTTTCTCCCCGGTGTGAATTCTCTGATGTGTTGTAAGATTTGTGCTCTCACTGAAGCTTTTTCCACAGTCCAAGCATGTATATGGTTTCTCTCCCGTGTGAATTCGGTGATGCTTCATGAGGCTTGTGGTCTCATTGAAGCTCTTCCCGCACTCGGAGCATCGGTAAGGTTTATCGCCCGTGTGGTTCCTGAAATGTCTTCCAAGGCTGGAGCTGTCACTGAAGCACAACCCACACCGGGAGCAAATATAAGGCTTCTCACCCGTGTGGGTTCTCTGATGTGAGAAAAGATGTGAGCTCCTCCTGAAGCACTTCCCACATTCTGAGCAAGTATAGCGCTTCTCCACTGGGTGAACTTTGTAACTGCTCACACGGTTTGCGCTTCCTATGAAACCCTTTGTGCACGGAGAGCCCGGATACATCTCCCCGGAATGAGCACCCGGACCAGTGCCAGGGCTTTTCATCCCAGTGAAGAGTTTTGCACACTGAGTCATTTTCGCCCTGTCGTTTCCTAGATAAAAGTCTTCTAGCACTGGGAATTCAGGGACAGAGGCAACAGATTTCTTCTGCCATTTCTGGTTTGAGTCACTTTTCCACCTGGGCTGATCACCCTCTTTCTTATTCTCTCTTGTATCACCTACAGGAACAAAAAGAGCAACCCAATGAGAAAGAAACAGGCTCTCCAAAAGAGATGGAACTCACATTTGCAGAACCAAAAAGACTAGTATCCGGGTGCTGGCTGGCATAAAGAAATAGGATGTGGTATATTAAGGAGTATTAAGGTGAGTGCCACCCGCCCCTGGACGCTTTGAACTCCCACAATCCCTGTTTCCTGGGATCAGGGAAGCTGCCATCTGAAAGATCTGGAAGATGCCAAGTCACCTACCCAAAAACAGAACGTTGAATGCTCTACCTGTGCAAAGGACCTTTAGGCCTGGGTGGCTTCCCCAAACCCGAACTCTGAGGCATAGGCCATGTGATGCACATAATATCATACCCCAAACACACACCTTGAGGCTTGGCCTTGCTCCTGATTGGTCCTGGTTCGTTTTATGAGTAAGATGCTATTTGCAACTGAAGCTGCCGTTTTATACTCAAAACATTTCACATTTTAAAATCTGTGGCTATCTTTAATATTTTACAATGCCTTAAAGGAATTTTAATCTATTACAGTGGTACCTTGGCTCATGAACTTAATCCGTTCCAGGACTCTGGTCGTGACCCAAATTGGATGTGAGCCAAGTCAAATTTCCCCTTAAGTTTCAATGTAAATAATGTTAATCCATTCTGTAACTTTTTTTTGTAATCACAAAACTTTGAAGCAAAGTGACAAAGAACAAAGATTCTTTGTCATCTCCCCCACCCCCTGAGCACGATTGCGGCCATCTCCATCCCCCAGCATGACTGCGATTACACCCATCAGCCCGGCACAAGCTCGACCATGATCGCAGCCATAGCCAGGGGCGATTGCAGGCATGCTCAGGGGGGGAGACGGGCACGATCATGGGTGTGCTGTGGGGGGGAGATGGGTGTCCCAGCTCAGCCCCCGCAAAGTGGGCCCGCGATCGTCACCCGATGCAGAGTTCGCAACCTGAGGCAAAAATTTTCAGAAATTGGTCTGAAATCGGTTCACGACCGATTTGGTCGTGAACTGAGGCCAAGATACCAGTGGCTGAGATACCAGACCGAGATACTGTAATTCTTTTTAATTCAATGTTTAAAATGTAAAATTGGTTAACATATAGAAACTGGCTCTGCTATTGCTGGCCAGTTTGCCTCTTTGCTTGGAGGCATTTCAACAGGGGCAGTGGGATGCGAGGTGACTTTGCAGGTTAAACCGCTGAGCTCTGAACCCACCGATAGGAAAGTCGGCAGTTCGAATCTGTGCAGTGGGGTGATCTTCCGCTGCCTGTCCCAGCTCCTGCCCTCCCAGCAGTTTGAAAGCACATGAAAGCACAAGTAGATAAATGGGTACCCATCTCGGTAGGGAGCTAGTGACTTGCGTGGAAGTGAGAAGATCAGTCCATGTTGGACTTGCAGTATCTGTGCTGGAGAAAGACCCCAGCAGATGCTGACGCTCCCACAGACTAGCTGTTCTGTGCTAGCTAGCACGCCCCCTGTGGTGCCGTGTGGATAGCACGCGAGTATGAATGGAAGAGCTAGCAATCTTAGGCAGCCAAACTACTCTGCATCAGCACTGCAGACTTCCTGGCTCATTGAACCAATGCCATACAAAATAGCGAAACAAACAAATCATGGCAGTGACAGTGCAGCTCTGCACAGATTAAGGATCCATCCAGATCACCTCTGGGGGCCTCTCCAGCTTTATGATTCCACTTTTCCCGGTTTACAACATCTTTCCAGACATCCTCAGACTGTTTTCCCCAACATATCCATCCAGAATCAAAATCAGGCTGTTTTAGCCGAACGTCATGGAGAAATTGCCACCTGATATTAGGGCTGGGATGAATCTTGGTGCTATTCATCCCTCTGGACTTCCGCTAGTGCTCAACCTAGTCTTTGAAAGTGAGCCAAGACAAGGGGAAATCTGAGGATGTCAGGGGAGCGGAAGCTGCGCAACCAGTAACCTCCTTCTGTGTTCCACGCAGCAGCAGCAGGAACACAGCCTGTGGCTTCTGGCTGAGAGAGGGACACAGCTGCAGCTGTGAAGGGTTCTGTTCCTAGCAAGAGATGTGCACACAACCTTCTTCTTGATGCAGAAGAGGGATGCTGCCTTAAGGACACACGAGGCTCCGTCACTGGCGAGTGCCAGGACCATGACCAGAGTCTGGGGAGCCAAGCCCAGAGAACTCCCACCTCCAAAACGGATTCCTCGCATATCCCAGCCCGACCGTGCCAGCCGAGTCTTTCACCCCGCAAGCACACACGAACCTGCTGCGCTCTCTTCCTCCTCGTAGCCCTCGGCCAACGGATCTTGCTCTTCCTTGAGCCAGGAGATGAGGTCAGAACTCAGAGGAAGCAGTCCTTCTTGGAGGACAAGCAAACAAACATTCGGGTCACTTTGGGTCATTCCAACGGAAATGTACGGGCATTTCCGAGAAGCCTGTGAGGGGCCCCCTGCAGCCCCATCCCTGGGAGTCCAAAGGTGCTTTGCTAGGATCCTGAGGCTCTGACTGTCGTGGAGGGAAGAGATGCCCCAAAGCAGGTAAGGTGTCCTCTTAGAATTACGCGCGCCCTCCCCAGGCAAGTTGGGAGACATGGTCTGAAAGATGCCACTAATATCTTTGCTGCTACTTTTTTATTTTTTGTATTTATATTTTTTGTATTTATTTTTCGATTTATATCCTGCCTTTTTCTTATTTAGGGCTCAAGGCAGCTTACATCGTTCTCCTCCTCCATCTTATACCCACAACAACAACCCTGTGAGGTAGGTTGGGCTGAGAGTTTGTGACTGGCCCAAAGTCACCCAGTTGGCTTCATGGCCGAGCGGGAACTAGAACCCAGATCGTCTGAGTCCCAGTTCCATGCTCTTAACCACTACACCACACTGGTTCACTTCTCACCCTGCCAACTGCTGAACTTCCTCAGGTGGTGTACAATAACTTAAAAGTACAAACATTACAAAAAGATAAGCTGCAGAACAAAATCGACTGAAAGGAAAGTGCTTGGGGTGACTAAATCACTCCAGAATCCCCATAGAAATTGCTACACAGGATGAGTTTTGGACCCCCAGTCAAAGCCCCTATCCCCAGTAGAAAAGAGACAAAATAAGGTTCGGTTCAGATTTTCCTGGTCTCATTTTAAAACTAAGATTCAAAGCTAAAAAATCCAGCATACAGAATTAAAGTTCACTAAGGGAAAGCCATGCTAAGATTTTGATTAAGGTAGTAGGCCAAACCATTTTATGTCAAGAAAACCAGTGGGTCAGCTAGTGCGAAGCAGATTTTCACCACTGTAGGAACATGATTTCACACAGCAGTGAAGAAAGGCCAAGGGATGCGGGGGTCAAGAGGGCGAACACCACCCTTGGTTGCACAGCCAGAAGAGTGACTTCTAGATTGAGAGAGGTTTTACTACCATTCTAAACGACTCTGGTGCGCCCACAACTGGAGCACTGGGCTCAGTTTTGGGCCCTTCATTACAGGAAGGATATAGCCAGGTTAGAGTCAGTGCAGTGCAGAGCCAGAAGGTTGGTGGCCGGTTTGCAGGGGATGCCGTATGAGGCGGGACTGAGGGAACTGGGTCTCTTCAGCCTGGAGAAGAGGAGACTCAGAGGGGATCTGTTGGCGACATTCAGGTAAATGAGGGGGTGTCACATGGAGGTGGGTAGAGATATGTTCTCCCCTGCAGAGGAAGGCAGGACGTGCTCCGATGGAGCAAAGCTCAGGGAACCAAGCTTCAATTTGGATGCCCAGAAGTACTTCCTGACAGTCAGGACCCCCAGGGTATGGAATGGGCTTCCACAGGAAGTGGTTGAGGCCCCATCAGTGAGGGTGTTCAAAGATGGGCTCGATATGCGCATGGTGGGCATGTTGTGAGCGGAGCTGGCTAGAGCCGGGGGTCAGACTAGATGGCCCGGGTGGCCCCTTCTGACTTGCTCTGTACCTATGTTTCTATGATTTGCCTATGTCAGCCTTTAGCACCGTCTTTAGGGAGTACTGTAACCAATGATTGTATGATCTCTCTGACGAGGCAGCGAAAGACCCTTACCCAAAGAGGCGAGGGTCCCATAATTCTCCTCCATGACCTCCCTGTGCAGAGCCCTCTGGCCTGCATCCAGCAGGGACCACTCTTCCTCTGAGAAATGCACCGTCACGTCTGCAAAAGTCACCGGATCCTAAGAACAGAAGAAAATAAATAATGCCCAATTCACAGATAATGCAACATTCCCAAATGACAGTCAAGTGAATTGGATCATAGGTCATCTGTGAGAATCCATATTACTGTTGAGTTTTTCCCCCCAATTTATATACTATCCAACTGCCAGACTGCAACAGAGCAGTTTTGCATCTTAAAACCCCCAAATAACCTGAAATACTTAAACAGCAACCCAAAATACAGCCATGAAGAAATTAAAATATTAAGGACATTTAAAAAATTAAAAAGGAAGCTGTATCATTCATTATAAAACTAGCAATAGAGAGAAACTGTACAAAGAGCAAGGAAACTACCAAGAAATTGGTGATTGGAGGAAAGCAGGGGAAGTGTTTTTATTTTTTATTTATTTAAAACATTTCTATGCTGCCCCCATCGCAACAAAGCCTCAGGGCGGCTCACAACATAATAAAAACATATAAATACTACTAAATACAATAAAGGTTAAAAAGCCTGATAACATCTCGGCTAAAAATTTAAAATCCTATAAATATATAATAAATTAACAATTAAAATAAGTTTTAAATAAAAAGGTCTTAGCCTGGTGCCAAAAAACAAATAACGACAGCGCCAGGCGGACCTCAGGGAAACCCATGAAAGCTCTGCTTGAACCTTGACTCAAAGTTAGTAGTTAATTTAAAGTTAGTTAGGTAGTTAATTTAAAGCTTTTATATACCGTCCCATTACTGGCATCTCAGGATGGTTTATACAAGCAACTCCCATATTAAATAACACTTACACCACCCAATAGCTAAAACTCTCCGGGTGGTTCGCAATAATTTAAAAAGGCTTAACAGTCTGAAACACAGTGTAAGAATTTAAATGTGTGAGCTATAATATAACACAGAGATAAAAACAGAGATAAGACTTAGTAGTAGTATTAAGATATAAAATAGGATTTTAAAAGGGGCTGCCCCAGCACCAGTCTCTGCGGCTGGTCCAGCTGGGGTCTCTCTGGAAGACACAAGCACAACTCTTCCCCTTAAAGACGAGTGCCCAGTGAATCTGGAAACACAAAACTGCCCAGCATTTGGAGGGGAGGGGTCAAACAGTGGATCCAAAGCTGCAGCATGACCTCAGCCCATAAGGGGGAGGGGAGGGGAGGGAAGGGGGAGGCACAGCTTTTATGCGGATGGCAAAATGGGAGTTCAGGTGAGGGCTACCAATTTGGGCAGCTTGGAAAAGAGACTAGACACATTCCTTGTCTAAGCTCACCTCTCTCTCCCTCCCTCCCTCTGACTCATACTCCATTTCTCTACCAAAGATTGCAACTCAAAGATAAGAAAGGGTGCCCTCCTCCTCACAGACCAGGAAGCCCCCAGACTGCACCCCCCCTCAAAAAATTGGAGCTCTCCCCCAGTTATTCCTATCCTACCTGCTCCATTTCTACTCCTGGAGAAGACTGAATCGGGATCACCAGGGACTTCCCAGCACCTGAAAGGAAGACAGAGGCGGTCATAGCAAATACAGTACCGTTAAACAAATCAGAACTCAATTCAGCAAACCCCTTACAGGAGGGAATGGGCCCATGTCCCTTCGGATTCCCAAACTCTGGATTCCCAAACTGGACCTCGGAGCTGAGGATTGGGAACTGGTGAGCCCTCTGCACTGCAGGGAAAGAAGCAGACCAGCTGCTCTTGGAAGCTGGGGAAGCCATCTCAGAAACGGGGGCTGTGGGGCAGAGGCAGCTTTGCGAGCAGTGAGACCATGAAGGCCAGATGACGAGTAATCCTGAAACTGTTCTGGCCCCACTCCCTCTCCAATCAGAGAGGCTGTTTTGGCAAAAAATTCAGCCTGCAAGGACAAAAAGAGGAGACTGCCTCCTCCGCTCCCCTCCACACACACCTGAGACCGGGTGTCACACCCAACTGCACCCTTCAGGAAGCATAACCAGCCGCATTGCCCCAAAAGTGTATCTGCTTATTTCTTTAAGATCCAAAGATTTGGGGATCAAGCAAAAGGCAAATGAGAAGATGAGCACTCCTCGTTTCATACATGCTGAAACCACAGTTCCTTGGATGCCTTTCCATGGGAGACTTGCCACACGAGTTCCCCAGCAGTAAAACAAATTGGCATTTTTTTTAGGGTGCTCACTGCATAGACCTGACAGTTCTAAAATTTTAAGCAACCTGGCAATCCCAGTGAAAAAGTCGCCATTTGATTGGGTTTGATTTGTACTCTCCCTTCCTACCAAGAAAAATGGCTCACAATATGCCCCAAATCCACTCATTTTGGGGAGAGAGTGGAACCATGCCACCCCAAAAGGACCTCCATGGGGGCATCTTTACCTGGCAAGGTGGCCTCTCCATCATTTTCCTGCAAAATCCCATTCACCAAGGGCCTCCGCGTGTGCTTTTCTGCCACAGGGAACTGGATGGCTCCATTGGATAGAATCCCCTTCACCTGCAGGCAGAGTCAAGATTCCAGACAAGCAATGGATCTTGGATCAGATTACTGTAATGTGCTCTAAGTGGGGTTGCCCTTGAAGATGGTCTGGATACTTCAGTTGGTTCAAAACAGAGGTGCCAGACTGCTGACGGGGGCCGGTCACTATTCTCACATAATCCCGGTCCTCTATCAGCTTCACTGGCTCCCCATTGAAGTCTGGGCCCAACTTAAGGTGCTGGTATTGACCCATAAAGCCCTAAATGGCTTGGAACCAGGATACCTGAAGGAACATCTTTTTCCCTATATGCCCTCCTGTCCTCTAAGGGCTGCAGCAGAGGCTCTGCTCCGGGAACCCTCCTTGAAGGAGGTTAAGAGAGTAAACACCTAGAGGAGGGCCTTCTCTGTGGTGGCGCCCTTGGATAACTTCCAGGAAACAACAGGTAACTGGCTGATATTTTTAGAGTACCTTTCCACGAATGCCCAGCCCCTGGGAGGGTATCAGATTAAATTCTGTCTCACCTGCTCTTCTTCCTGCTTCCCCTCCTCCAACTGGCTCAGGAGGAATCCTTCTGCCAGGGCCACTGCCTGGGAACAGGTCTCCGGCCTGCATTCCCTGACCCAGCTCTCCATCTCCAGAGGAAGGATAGCCAGGAACTGCTCCAGGATCACCAGATCCAGCATCTGCGCCTTCGTGTGCTTTTCCGGCTTCAACCACTGATGGCAAAGGCCGTGGAGCCGGCTGCAAACTTCTCGGGGCCCATCAGCCTCCTGGTAGTGGAACTCTCTGAAACGTTGGCACTCGGTGGCCCCATAGCCCGTTTGCAGTCTCAGGATCTTCTGCTCTGGTGTCTCCCAGATGTGCCTGCAGCTCCCCATCTCAATGACATCACGGCCTCTTTCCTCTATACTGGCACATGCGCTTGGCTTGCCCATCTTAGCTCTCTCCTCCAGCTTGGCCTCCCAATTTCTTTCCTTACCCAAGGACAACAGAAATTGGGGTGAAGCAAATTCAAGCTCTTCTCTATAACGTCTCCTTTTAGTCTATGATTTATGTATTTATTAGAGTTATATCTCACTTTTTTCTTATGAGGAACCTATATTAACAAGGGCCTTGCCCATGATAGTATGCATACTGTATTCTGTTGGCATCTCCCCGCTTCTCTGCCACAGAAGCACCGATCACGTAGGAAGGCTGCTTGCACTCCCAAACCTGCTTCTGCATCTGGATACCGGATCCGGATATCCTCCATGAATCTGCCCAAGCCCCTTCTAAAGCATTCTCAGACTGGTGGCCATCAGAAAATCCTGCGGCAGTGCATTCCAATACACCAAGCGGAGAACCACCTATAAGAATATAAGAACAATGCCAGATCAGACCGAAGGTCTACCAAGTCCAACACTCTGCACCTAGCAGAACCCACAAGCAGGACATCTGTGCAATAGCACTCTTCCACCCATGTTCCCCGTTAACTGGCTACACAGGCACACTGCCTGTGATGCTCAAGGGGACCCATAACCGTCAGGGCTGCAAGCCATGGATAGCATCCTCCTCCATGAATGTTCCCAGTTTCCTTTTAAAGCCAGCCAGACAGGTAGCCATCACCCCTTCCTGTGGCAACAAATGCCCCCGTTTAACCACACACTCTGACCCATCAGCTTCACAGCGTGACTCCATGGCATATTATGCATTTAGATGGCAGAACAAAAAGAGTTCCCTTCCCACTTTACCCCTGGTGGGCACAGCCTTTTAAACTCATCATGCATCCTCTTGCTGGTTTTATAAGCAATCGTGGTACAGCGGTGGGTGCATTAGAATACAACTGAGGAAAGCCGGGCGCAAGTCCCCAGTCAACCATACAGACTTTCAGTCAGTAACTAACTCTCAGTCCAGCCCACCTCACAGGGCTGTTACAAAGACAAAATAAAGAGGGCTCCTCTGAATGAAAGGCGAGGTAAAAATGTCATGAATGGGTAGGAATAACCTCAACAGCTGCAATGGCTACATTGGAGGCAGCCTGACTCTGCACCCCAGTTGCTGGGGGCCCTGGGTGGGCTGTGCCATTGCACTGAAGTCTGATCCAGCACAGCTCCTGTTATTTTATGATGTTCAGCTCCAAAAACCGAGATGTATTGGCTTTGGCTTCCAAACAGAATGGCTTTGAGAGAGGATCGGGCAAATTTCTGGAGAAGACTACCAACCGCTACTAGTTCTCATGCAGTTCGAGTTTCAGAGGCGAAAGTCTGTCTACACCAGTTCCTGGGGGGCATGGGCTGCAGAGATCCTTGCAATGGGGGGGTGGCTTCCCAAGGGCAACTGGTTGCCCCCATGAAACGACCTTCTGGCCTGAGCCAGTGCGGCGCTCCCCGCGTCCTCACCCTCGCGTGAAACCAGGTGGAAGCCGCCCTCGCTGGGGGTCGCGGGTCGCCCAGACCACGCTCTCCCTCTTGCCCCCCACCCCGCCCCCTCCTCTTCCGCTTGGCAGGTGCAAAGTGCCCCCCGGGGCCGCACCTGGGGGCAGGTGGGGCAAGTGGGGGCGAGAAGGCGGCTGCGGGTCTAGGGCCGAAGCTCACAGGCAGAGGCCGCGCCCCCCCCCCCACCGCACACACCAGGGCTGCGGGGAGCTCCCGCGGGGGTAAGAAGCGAGGCTGCCCCCGCCCGGGGCAGCTCCGTCCGCGAAGCCCCCCGCCCCCCCTCACCTGCGGCCTGCCGCGCCGCGCGTGGGAAAATCCCGGCCGCCTTTCCCACGGGAGGGGGCGGGGCGCCTCCGCGGCGGGCCGCGCTAGGCACGCCGCCTCGCTGCCCTTAACCCCACGCTGGCCGCCGTCGGGGCAGGGGATGGGGCTTCGCGGGGGAAGAAGCGCTGCGCCGCCGCCCCTGCTCTCTTTTCGCCCCCGACCCCCAACCTGGACTGCTCCCCTTTTCCTCCCCACGCCCCCTCTCCCCCGCCCCTTCCTCCCCTCACCCCCCACCTTTCCTCCCGTTCTCCCTCCCCCACCGGCGCCCGCCCCCCTTTTCATGTTCGCTTCTCCAGCGCCCCATCACCGACCCGCTTCGCCCTCCCTGGCTGGGGAGGAGCAATGGGGGTCCCAGAGACAGAGAATTTCCCCCACCTGGTGGCGCAGGAAAAAGCTCCTCCACGTAGTTCAGCCACGCAGAATTAAGCTCTTCCCTGCCCCACCCCCGCCTTCTCTTTCCTTGCCCCAAGCAGCAAGGCCCGTGCCCTAATGAAGGGCAGGGCCCATCCCGTCCAGCATTCGGCCCCCACAGTGGCCACCCTCCATCAGGGGACCTGAGGAGAAGGACAGGAGTGCTACAGCACCCTCCTGCCCGTGTGCCCCAGCAACCGGTGTCACAGCTTCTGAGAAGGGAGGGTGCAAAGAGCCATGAGGACTACCAGCTTTGGATAGCCTTGTCCTCTGGGCATTTGCCTCGTCCTCTTTAAAGTGGCCCAAGTTGGTAGGCATCATCCCATCCCTTTGACTATGTGCCACATGAAAAAAGTCCTTTTAACAGTAATTTAATTAGTTAATTTCTAGATCACCCCACAACTGAAGCTCTCTGGATGATTCACAACAGCAAGTGTGTGTGTGTGTGTATAGTACTAGTAAAACATGACAAACATCATAAAAGTTAACAATACAAAAACTTAAAAACAAATAGAAACAGAAACATAAAAGCTATACATTGCTTACACTATGCTCCTATTAAACCATGTCTAATAACCAGAAGTCTGTAGTAGAGGACAGGCTTTACCTGATGGTGAAAAGATAGTAAAGTTGATGCCAGGCAGACCTCAGTGGGGACCTCGGTCTATAATGGGAGGGGGCCACCACTGAAAAGGCCCCTTTCCTGAGCCTCCTTCAGAGGTACCAATCAGGGAAAGCCACCAGACCTTGAAGGTGGCGTTTGGGTAGATGAAGGTCAGGAGAGGCACTCCATCAAGTATTGTGGTCCAAACAGTGTAGGCCTTTACAGGTCAAAAGCAACACCTTGAATTAGGCAGCCAGCGCAAGCAGGCCGGAACTGGCATGATGTGATCAGACCATCCGAACGTTGTTGTTAGTCGTGAAGTCGCGTCCGACCCATCGTGACCCCAAGGACAACACTCCTGCAGGCCTTCCTGTCCTCCACCATCCCCCGGAGTTGACTTAAGCCCACACCAACTGCCCCAGTGACTCCATCCAGCCACCTCATCCTCTGTTGTCCCCTTCTTTTCTGGCCATTTACTGTTCCTAGCATTAAGCTCCTCTCCAGTGAGTCCTTCCTTCTCATTAGGCGGCCAAAGTATTTGAGTTTCATCTTCAGGATCTGGCCTTCTAAAGAGCAGTCAGCTCTAGCGTGTGCATTTTGCACAAGCTGCGGCTTCCAAGCAGTCTTCAAGGGCAGCCCCCGGAGAGTGCATTGCAGTAGCCTGGGTCACAGATTGCCCGAGAGCAGGCTACCTTCTTTAGCCCACCAGCCAGCTTCATGGGATGACCCCCTCGGGTTCGAGGATTATGGAAGAAGGAGAAAAGTCCCCCCCCCCTCCAGCAATACTTAAAACACCTCTCTAGTGCAACCTCCCCCCCACCCCTTTCTCGCCTTTTCTCTGAGCCAAGCCTTCTTGCCGGAGCTGCTGCACCCCGTCCTGGGGGAGCCGCTGCAACCCTTCTCGGCCCTTCCTGCAGCTCAACGAGAGCTCGAGCAGATCTGCGCACGATCCTGCAGCGGGCCGGCCCAAAGAAGTCCCTGTGGGAGCACGGCCTGGGATAGCTCTGAGGGCGGCGGGTCTATCCGCGCCGGGTCTATCCGCTGCACGGCAGTGGCGCTCTGGCCAGGCAGCCGCCTCGAGCAGCCACTGCCATCAGAGCCCATCAGCCTCGCCCCAGGGACGCAGCCCTTCCTCGGCGTCCCCGCGGGGGCTCGGACTACAGCGCCCATCCGGCGGAGTGCTGGTGCCCAGCGCACGGCTCCCAAACGAGGCCCGCGTCTTGGGACAAGGCAGGGGGTGCTGCTCGACCGCTCCGATCGTGGCGACTGCCGCCCTCCCTGCGGTGTGGGCTCGCCTTCCGCGCTGGGCGGACTGAGAGAACGAAACTGGCTCTCGAGGGGTTAATGCCACCGAGGGCGGGCCTAGAGGGGCGCGGCGGCGGGCGGGAAGGAGCGGCGGGCGTGGGCAGTGGCGTCACTTCCGTTGCTCGGCCACCCGGAAGGAGCACTCGGGCGCCAGGTAGGGTCTCGTTCGTCGCGTTCCTCAGCCCGGCGCCCTCGAGAGGGGTGGGATGGCACGTCCCATCATCCCCATCCTCCAAGGTTCATATGCCTCAGATTGGTTTGGCTGGCTCGTCTCATCATTCCCAGCCACCACGATACTTTCCAGTTTTGTGTGGATGGCCAATTCCATCCTCCCCAGTCTATGTGACTACCCGGATGCTCTCCCAAGTTTGTTTGGGTGGGAGGTCCCATCATTCCCAGGCACCCAGACCATTAGGTCCTTTATATGCCACGGATGGGTTAGGCAGGAAGCCTCATCAATCCCAGCAGTATGGTCTGGCTGACCCCCTCCAGAAATGTTTGGATGACACACCCCATGATCCCCAGCTTGGAAAGTCGACATGATGTCCCCCAGCAATGTGTGGAGAGCAATACCCGGCATCCACAGCACACGGACAGAAACTGGTCTTTTCTAAAATATTAGATGGCTGGCTGGGCACGATGGGAGTTGGTGTCCAGCACATGGAGGGGGTGGGCAGCAGTTGGTGTAGCTAACCACAATCCAGATTATTGGGTGGTGGTCTGCCCTTTGGAAAGCTGCTCCCCCTGGTGACTGGTAGCGACATGGCAGAGGCCTGGAGTGGTCCCAGGAAAGGATCACAAGTTGAAGCAAGGTGGTGGCAGGGAAGGACCTGGAAGGACCCATGGCCTCCCACAGCTTTCCAAAGGAGAGACCTGTGCTCCCCGGGGAGGCAACTGACTGTCAAGACACACAGATGAAAAAGACACTGGCATCTTTATCTTTGTGTCACTCTCAAATACAGACTCAGTAAGTGCTCGCAATGCAATCTGTGAACTCTTGAGGCATCCAGGGTTGTTCTTCCAGAATGATTTTTGGAAAGGTGTTGGTGCTGGGTGAGGATTCTTTCTGTTCCATTTTCTAATGAAAAAGACAGCTGTGTCAAATATGAGACTGGTTGATGAGCATCTCTAACAAATCTGATGGGTTTTCATCACAGTTCTTGATAATAGCAAATTATAGTGTTCCTCCTTGCCATAATCTGAAGAAAGGCTTTGATAGATGCTTCTTCATAGGTCCCTCTGAATGTTTATAGAGTTTTGCAGGACTTGATAATGGGGGCAGGAGCATGAAGCAATGTTTTTCAGTCCACATTCTCATTTCTGATGCTCACAGATTCTTTTTGTATCTTTCCTCCACAGGGGGAATGTCTGACTGATATCTGGAAGAATCCTGTTTGGCTTGTAAAGTCTATTTTTGTGAAAGTAAGCCTCTTTAGTTTAACGGGACTTAATTTCAGGCAAGTGCATGTACAGTGGAGGCCTGAACAAACTTGTAGGCAAGAGAGATTCTTTAGCCTCTTATAATGAATCAGGGCCCTCTTCACACAGTCCATGAATGAAAGCAACTTCAGAGCTACAGGATCCTTGTCTCTTCTAGGATCTGCCTTTGAGCCCTGAGGGGAAAATGGATGTTCAAAGCCCAGCAAGAGAGACGAGAGCAAGAGGTCCTCAGGCCATCCTGGTGGGGAGCAGTGAGGAATTTTGGGAAAGGACTGGGCAAAAGACCCTAGAAGCAGAGGAGGTCCATTTGGACGTCCAGCGCCGGCACTTCAGAGAGTTCCACTACCAGGAGGCTGATGGGCCCCGAGAAGTTTGCAGCCGGCTCCACAGCCTTTGCCATCAGTGGTTGAAGCCGGAAAAACACACAAAGACCCAGATGCTGGACCTGGTGATCCTGGAGCAGTTCCTGGCCATCCTACCTCTGGAGATGGAGAGCTGGGTCAGGGAATGCGGGCCGGAGACCAGTTCCCAGGCAGTGGCCCTGGCAGAAGGGTTCCTCCTGAGCCAGGCAGAGGACAAGAAGCAGGTAGAGCTGCAGGTATGAAAGAATTTTGCCTTGGTAGTTCCAAGGGTTGGGGAATGTGTGCTGTGACGTTGAAGCTGATTGGTGGGAAGTTTAGGGCAAATGAAAGGAAATACTTCTTCACGCACTATATAATAATGCTATGGAATTCAGCAGTGGGAGGTGGTGATGGCCACTATTTCAGATGGCTTTAGAAGGGGATTGGAGAAATTCATGGTAGTGGGGGAGGCTATCCATGGCTGCTAACCTTGCTGGCCGTGTGCTCCCTCCTCCTCCAGAGGCTGCATGCCTGCACACACCAGTTGCTGAGGAGCTTGGGCAGACACAGGTCGTGCACCCTTCCTGCCCACGGGATCCTGTGGACAGCTGCTTTGCCACTGTGTGAAGGGAGTGCTGGACCGGATGAGCCATTGGTCTGATCTAGCATTGCAGTATTTATAGTAGGATTATCTCTTCCTGCTCATGGAATGACCTGCCTAAAGAGTTTCCAAAGCTCTAGCTCTCTTTAAGCAGAACATTCCGTGGGTCAGCTCCGAAATTTGGCACTCATTGGCTTTTCTAGACCATTAATCCAGGAGGTGTGGGAAGCTTCACTCCAGCTGCAGCCATGACTGTGGGGATGGCTGAACTGGAGAAGAGAGGAATCATTACCTCTTCCTGCTCCAAGCCTCTAACGACTCTCCCTTGGTCCCTGTCTGCTGTATCAGGCACTGGAACCACTGACGAAAGCAGGCGCAGATTCCACTGGGAGGAAGAAGGGTCGGTCCAATGCCATTCACAACCTGTTCTTTGCTGAGCTCACACAACAGGGGGATCAAACCTGGAGCACCACCCCAGGTAAGGGAAGATGCCTTCTGCCCACGTTTTGGAGCAGTGCGCAGATTCTAGGAGAAATGCCCCCTCTCTTTCTCTCTCTCCCCCTTCCTCTTCTTCATCACAGATGGTAGAACCTCTATGCAGGGTGGACCCTTTTTAGCAGGTTTTTTTTCCATGGATTTTTTAAAAAATCAATAGAATCAAGCAGTTAGCAATTTCAAACTTGCAGGTATTATATTTGTGCATGGAGATAAAAGTGAGCATGGGGGACTTCCTGGAAGCTTTGCTTGCTTTGTTGCTAGTCACAATGTCATGCCAGACCCACCGTGACCCCATGGACAACATTCCACCAGGCCTTCCTGTTCTCCACCATCCCCCGGAGTCCACTCAAGCTCACGCCAACTGCTTCAGTGACTCCATCCAGCCACCTCCTTCTCTGCCGTCCCCTTCTTCTGCCATCTATTGTTCCCAGCATTCGGCTCTTCTCCAGGGAGTCCTTCCTTCTCATTAGGTGGCCAAAGTATTTGAGTTTCATCTTCAGGATCTGGCTTTCTAAAGAGCAGTCAGGGTTGCTCTCCTCTAGGACTGACCGGTTTGATCGCCTTGCGGTCCAAGGGACTCGCAGGAGTCTCCTCCAGCACCACAATTCAAAGGCCTCAATCCTTTTGCGCTCAGCCCTCCTTATGGTCCAACTTTCACAGCCACACATTGCAACTGGGAAAACCATAGCCTTTACTATACGCACTTTTGCTGGCAGGGTGATTTCTCTGCTTTTTAGTATGCTGTCTAGATTTGCCATAGCTTTCCTTCCAAGAAGCAAACATCTTTTAATTTCTTGGCTGCAGTGACCGTCTGCAGTGATCTTGGAGCCCAGGAAAAATAAAATCTGTCACTTTGTTTGCTACTTACTAGTAAAATGAGCATGTTAAACACTGGACTGGTATGATTAAACAAACCACCATGACTTGCTTATTTATTTATCATATCTGTCCCCTGCCTCTTTTTCTTTTAAGGTATGTGAGGCAGTTCCCATAATTCTCTTCCACCTCTCAGTCTTAAACTCACAACAACAACCCTGTGAGGTAGGTCAGACTGAGAGTGTGACTGGCCATAGGCACCCAGTGAGCTCCATGGCAGAATGGGGATTTGAATCTGGATTGCCTCAGTCTGGGTCTCGCATTTTATTTCATTTAGCTGGCCTCCATTTTCCTAATTATCATTTTCCTAATGATTTTCTTTATCATCCAAACCAAAGCAGCATGATCTGTTCGAGGGAAGGACAACCCTATAGCCAGTCTTATGCTATTTGTGAGTTGTTTCACCCTTTATTTATTTAAAGCTATTACAGTGGTACCCCGGGTCACGAACACCTCAGTTCACAACCAAATCAGGTCACGAAAAGAAATTTCAGGGGAAAATTGCCTTAGGTTGTGAACTCCACATCGGGTGACGATCGCGATTGTGCCTGTCTTCCCTGCATGATCGCAGTTGTGTGTGTCTGTGTGTGTGTGTGGCAGGGGAGATGGCTGAGATCATGCTCGGAGGGGGGAGATGGCCACGATCACGGTCATGCTCGGGGGGAGATGGCCATGATCTTGCTCGGGGGTGTGGGGAGATGGCCACGATGCGGAGCTTGCAACCTGAGGACATTTTTTTCTGAAATTTCTGTTCACAACCTGATTTGGTCGTGAACTGAGGCGTTCGTGAGCCAAGATACCACTGTATAATGTCAGCCCCCCAGCCCAAACCGGCGATATGGGCCCATTTTCTTGCTCAGGATCTTGCTGACTTGCTGGGCACAGCAAAGACCTTTTCCCTCAGGCAGCATCCGCGTGCCCCCACAACGTTGACTCACCAGCGCCTAAACGTCGGCCAAGGTTCCTTTGCTACCTCTGATCTCTAGGTCAGAGCATGCTTGCTGGAACTGAGAGCCCTACTCTTAACCACTGCGTAATCTGATAGGGACATTTTCCCAACCAAAACTGTTTTGGCCCCCTTCCTTTCCCTCACAGGCGATGGGCTGGCATCACTGATGTTTTCTGAATCGATGCCTCTGGATGGTGGAGCAGAAGCTGTTACAGACCGGGCAGCTCAGGTGGGTGAAGGATCACTTTGGATAACACCAGAAAATGTTGGATACCTTTGCACAGAGGAAGGGATGCTGTGAGGAAAGGGGCAGGCCAAACAGATCCAGTCTTCACCTGCTCCAGAGAGAGTCGCAGGAAGTTCTGAGAGACGAGACCCAGAAGGGAGGTGCGAGGAAAGGAGGCTGCCGAAAGTGAGAGGCTCAGCTGCTAATTATAGAAAACCACAAGCTGAGTTTGCGGAATGGAGATCTGGCTGGCTCTGGGCGTAGCATATTCTTATTTCTGTCTTGGGCCTCCCGCTCTTTCCTGTTTCGCTTCAAAAGTGTTACATTAAGTCAGTTTGTACCATTTTCTGAAATGCTGGGTGGATTCATTGAGCATGTTTCTTCTGTGTCGACCCTGTGGCACACTTATTTCAGATTGTGTTTTTTGAAATGTGTATTTGTATTGTTGTCTATCTGATGGTGGTGAGATGCTTCAGACACCATCTTTAGAATCAGAGCATGCCAGCATGCCTGTGCCAGGCCCCAAAGCGAAGCCTGAACCTGGGTCAGACTTGGGCTGGGGAAATGCAGAAAAATCAGAAAGGGTCCAGATGAGGACAGGGTTTGGAAACACTGCCCTGTGAGGAGAGATTGTGAGGACTGGGCATGTTCAGCCTTGAGAATAGAAGACTGAGGGGGCACATGAGATCCCTCTGGAAGTCTCAAAAGCTGTCACAAAGAGGAAGGTCAGGATCTCTTCTCATTGATAACAGAGTGTGGGACATGGAATAATCAAATCAAGTTGCGATAACCCAGATTCAGGAAAAGCTTCCTCACTGTCAGAGGAATACAACAGTGGAACCAGCTGCCTGGAGAGGTGGTGGGCTCTCCCACACTGGAGACATTCAGAAAGAAACTGGACAGCCACCTGAGTGGGATGGTACAAATTAGTGTCCTGCAACAGCAGGGGGTTTATTATTTATTTATTTATTAGAACATTTATATGCTGCCCCATTCGCCGAAGCCTCAGGGCGGCTTACAACATAATAAAAATTACAATAGTAACAATATAAAATATAAAATAACAATATAAAATAAATAACAGTATAAAAGAAGTCGCCCTGGCCAGAAGACTCTATGGCCTTCTTGACCCCTTCCAACTCTACTATTCTATGATTAAAAGGAGTCCCAAAACATCTTGTGAACAACAACTTTGGGAAGGCTGTTCTAAGGCAAATTTAAAAAAACATAAAAGCACAAGAAAAGCCATGCTGGATCAGAGCAATGGTCCATCCAATCCAGTACCCCATTCATGTGGTGGCAAACTGCTGTCCTCAGGATTCTCCAAGCAGGATGGGTGCAAGACCTCCTCCTGCCCAAGCTCCTCAGCAACTGGGGTACACAGGCATACCACCTCTGGTAAAGGAAGTAGCACTTAGCCAGCAAGGCCAGTAGCCACTGCTTACCTTCTCCTCCTCCCTGAATTTGCCCATTCACCATATAAAGTTGAAGTATTTCCTTTTCCCTGTCCAGGATTCCTCACTCATCAGCTTTACGGGATGCCTCTGGAGCCTAGGATTTTGGGAAAGGGAGGAAAATGTCTTCTTATCTGCTTTCTCCACACTGTGCATAATTTTAAACCCCTCGATCATGTCTCCCCCAACTCACCCTTCTTCTAAGCTAAACAGTCTTATTTGAGCTAAGCAGTCATAATAACATGGATGTGACTCTTTTCTACTTTATTTCTCATAATAATGACTGCATCAATGTTTCCACCATCTTTAAGGTAAGGAGGCTATTCTATGATATTATAGAGCCTGTGTGGTGTAGTGGTTAAGAACATGGGACTGGGACTCAGACAATCTGGGTTCTAGTCCCCGCTCAGCCATGGAGCCAACTGGGTGGCTTTGGGCCAGTCACAGACTCTCAGCCCAACGTACCTCACAGGGTTGTTGTTGTGGGGATAAGGTGGAGGAGGAGAACGATATAAGCTGTCTTGAGCCCTTTGTAGGAAAAAGGCAGGATATGAATCGAAAAATAATAAAAAATAAAATAAAATATTAGGAAGCCCTGCTTACTCATGCAAAATTATTAGGAAAAGAACATGTGGCAGGAGAGAAGTGTGTGCACACATTTTGGAGTTTGTGGGATGCACAACAAGCCTTCCTTAAGGGAATTAGGCTTTAGGGAAACAATTCCCTCCTTCCCCTTCTTTTTAGTGCTATGTTGCATTTCTTTCCCACATTCTCTACCTTGTGAGAAACCCAAGGCACACCCCAAAACTTCAACAACAACCCTGTGAGGTAGGTTGTGCTGAGAGTGAGTGACTGACCTGGATTCACTCAGCTTCAAGGCTGAGTGAGGACTAGAACCTGAATATCACGCGTTCAAAGTCCAGTGCTCTCATCACTATATCACACTGCCTCTCATGGTCAGGTTATCTTAATAATGTGCAGGTTCTTGACCAGGACAAATGCAGCCAGTCCAGGGAAGCTGCCCACAGCAGAGCCAGCATTGACCAGGACATGAGTTCCGGTCCCCACTCAGCCCTGAAAGCCCACTGGGTGACTCTCAGCCTAGCCTACCTCACAGGGTTGTTGTGAGGGAGCAGAAAGAGCTGGGCTTAGCCCAATTTAGATGGCTTCAGAGGCGGGTTGGGCTGGTTCTTGGAGGGGGATGCCATCAACGAATGCTAGTCCTGATGGTTTTATGCTGCCTCCAGTATCATTCCTTGAGCCTCAAATTTGTCTCCTGCAATCCCTGAAGGAAGCAACCTCTCCTTTCTTTGCACCGGGACTTTTGCATTTCAAAGAGGAAGAGGAGGAGGTGGAAAGGGGAGCTATGCTGGATCCAGCCCAGAAGCCTCGTCCCATGGACATCGTGGGAGACAACAGTAGGAACCTGGACTCTCCGGGTAAGGAGCCAAGTCCCAATATTTGGAGACTCCTAATCTTTCTGCAACGGAGGGCTCTACCACTTTGCTGTGGGAGCTCATGCCATGACCAGGGGGTGGCTAATGAAGCTCAGCACCGACTTCAGGGATCCCAAGTGTGGCACCCACCCACTCTGAAAGCGTTCCCCTAGATGGCACCTGCACAGCTTAACAAAGTCCTGTATTTTTAAAATCTCAATGTTTTTGTAAATATACCTCTCGGTGCCCTTTCTCTGCCCTCTTTGGTGCTGTTTCTCATGACCTTGACCCTTGCTGTTGCTTCCCCACACCGCTTTAACTCACTGTTAATCCTGCCTCTTTGCTTCTCACTTCGCTCCTCCTCCTTTGCCCTGTTATTTCTTCTTCCCCAGCCCCCTTCCTCACTCCTCCTCTCTCTTCCCTGACTAGCAAGCCCCACAGCAGCTGTTGAATGGCCCTTCTTCTTTTGCCATCAATTGTCCCCAGCATTAGGCTCTTCTCCAGTGAGTCCTTCCTTCTCATTAGGTGGCCAAAGTATTTGAGCTTCATCTTCAGGATCTGGGCTTCTAAAGAGCAGTCAGGGTTGATCTCCTGTAGGACTGACCAGTTTGATCTCCTTGCAGTCCAAGGGACACGCAGGAGTCTTCTCCAGCACCACAATTCAATGTTTGACCATGTCCAGCTTGCCTTGATTCCTAGATCTTACATTCCAGGTTCCTATGGAGTACAGATCTTTACAGAATCGGACTTTCCTTTCACCACCAGATAAATCCACAAGTGAATGTCCTTCTGGCTTTGACCTGGTTGCTTCATTCTTTCTGGTGCTACTAGTACTAGCCCTCTGCTCTTCCCCAGTAGCACATTGGACACCTTCCAATCTGAGGGGTTCATCTTCTGGTGTCATATCTTCTTGCCTTTTCATACTGTCTGTGGGGTTTTCACGGCAAGGATACTGGAGTGGGTTGCCATTTCCTTCTTCAATGGATCACGTTTTGTCAGAGCTCTCTGCTATGACCTGTCCATCTTGGGAGGCCCTGCACAGCATAGCTCATAGCTTCATTGAGCTACACAAGCTCCTTTGCCACAACAAGGCAGTGCTCCATGAAGGGGATTCTTCATGTACCAAACAATTTAAATGTCAATATAAAACTAGAAAGTCAGCAGTTAAAACGGAGGAAAAATGAAGTAGGATCATTTATTTATTTAAAGTATTTATATGCCGTCCTTTACGACAATGTCTCAAGCCAGCTTAAAACTTTAAAACCCACAAGCGATGAAAACAATCAATAAAGTAGTACAATAGATAGAATAAAATATAATCAGTAAAAATACAATCACATTTTTAAAAAAGCTACTGTTAATGTCTAAAATTACTGATTTTTAAAATGACGTTTGAAGAAAAAGGTTTTCACCTGGTGCCGAAAAGATTTTCACCTGAATCTGAAAATTAGGATTCCCATTCCTGTATCTAGTACCAATCAGCTGCTCTGAGGGCAGGAAGAGAAGAAAACAAGGGCAAAGGGTTTGATTCTTGAGTGGGGAGAAGTAACACCATAAGGGGATGAGTGGGAGAGAAAGGGCAAGGCTGGAGGCTCAGAAGCAGGGCGAGAAGGATGGAGGTCAGAGTGGGAGAGAAGCACAGAAAGCAGAATCTGGGAGTGGGAAGAGAGAGCAAGCACAAGGGGAGAGGTAAGGGGATGGAAACAGATAGGGCTGTCCAGTGTGTCATGAGCAGAGCCGGCTGGAGTTGGGGGTCAGACTAGATGGCCCAGGAGACCCCTTCTGACTTGCTCAGTTTCTCTATTTCTGTGATTCCATTCCCCGCTGCCTTCCAGCTTCCTGGCTAGCCAAGGTCCGACAGCAGCCTTTACGTGACTAGCAGCATCTTCCACGGGAGCCACTTTGAGATGGTCCCCACAGCTGTTAACCAGGCTCCCAAATGGGTCCAGAAAGGTTGGTAGAGACACCAGAGGCTTTTTGGATGTTCGGTTCTGGCACATCACTGGCCACACTCTGCCTTCGGCTCCTGGAGGAACTCGCCTCTTTGTGGAAGGGGCTACTCCATTCAGCAGCATCGCAGGGGGCAGCTCTTCCCCAGCCTGTACCGTCCAGATTGCGTATGGGATTTCAGATGGTTAAACAATCCCTTGGGCATGTGGGGAGAGAGACATGGGCTAGGGCAAAGCTAACATGCCGGGATCAAGGCTTGGTGATTTTAATTTGTGGATCTTGCAGGAGATTCACCAAGTGTGTACAGTCCAAGTTTATCTAGGCCAGTGATTTTCAACCGCCAGTCCACGAACTGGCACTGGTCTGCCGGCATTTCCTACCGGCCTGTGGATGAGCCATGGTCAGGTTACACAGACCTACGCAGGGTTAGCTGTGCTCTCACTGCCAATTCCCCACCTCTTCCTCAGGCAAGGAGACTGGGGGCGCAGGGAGAGAGGCAACTCAATGGAAGCCAGCTGGGACCCATGCCACACTGGTCTGCCCTCTGAGCATGCCCCAAAGACCCAGCCTTTTCCTTTCTCTGCTGTATTTTCTGCTGGGAAGGGAAATGCAGAGGTGAGGTTGTGCTGAGTGTGTTTTCTCAGCAAGTCTTTGCTGGTGTGCATGGAAGTTTGAGTGGGTGAGGATCCCTGGATTTCATTATTTAACATTATGAGTATTATCGTATCAAGCAACTTTGTCTGATTGTGTATTGATCTGCTGTTAATATTGTATTTGAATTTGTATTTGCTCTGAGTATTGCATTTATATTGATTTTGTCGTTTGCTCTTGTAAATTTTTGACCAAGTATTCTTGAAAAGAAGCAACGGCAGATTTTGCAGTAGCCCTATTTGAATTACATATTGCTCCCTAAAAATTTCAGTTGTGTTCAATTACATTTAATTTCATATTTTCTTCTTTTATTGGAAACATAGAAACAGAACCAGTCAGAAGGGGTCTCCCGGGCCATCTAGTCTGACCCCAGCTCCAGCCGGCTCCGCTAATGCCATGCCATGCTTACCATGTGCATTTCCAGCCTTTCCTTGAGCACCCTCACCAATGTGGGCTCAACCACCTTCCAGTATTTTTACTGCTCAGTTTCTGGTTGTTTTAGATCATTTTCAATTTTTTTGGTATTTAAAAACTAATACACAAAATACTATATTATGTATATAATGCTTTTTATTTCCACTCCAGTGGTTCCCTGAAATAATTTTCCTATTTTTGCCAGTCCCCAGCTGTAAAAAGGTTGAAAACTACTGATCTAGACCATGTGATTTTGTTGAATGTTTGTAGCCTCTCTTTGGAAGTACTGTGGCAGCCTGACTGGACATGTAAAGCTTCTCTGCAGCATTGAACCCTCAGTCCCTATCTTTTCTTAACAAGTTTACCTCCTTATTTCTGCAGGTCACAGATGGAAGACTGAAAAGGACAATGAGCCACATTCAGAAGGAAACAAGCAGCAAGAAATGGAAGAGAACTTCCAAAATCAAGAAGGACTAAAACAGGAGGAAGGGGAACAAACAGAGCAGCTGGGGAATGCATTTTCTCAGCGGGGTAATTTCCAAAAACTTCCAGTTTCTCAGGAAAAACAGAAAGGGACAAGAAGGAATGACTGTCCAGCCTGTGGGAAAAGCTTCAATCGCAAATCAGACCTGAACGTCCATTGGAGGATCCACACAGGAGAGAAACCCTATAAATGCCTGGAGTGCGGAAAGAACTTCAGGCAGTTGGCAAGCCTCTCATCACATCAGAGAATCCACACAGGAGAGAGACCGTATAAATGTGCCGAATGTGGAAAGGGATTTTATGACAAATCAAGCCTTGTTATACACCAGAGAATCCACACAGGGGAGAAACCATACCGCTGCTCAATATGTGGAAAGGGCTTCCACCAGAGCTTCGGGCTCACATCCCATCAGAGAATCCACACAGGAGAGAAGCCCTTTGCCTGCTCAGACTGTGGAAAGAGCTTTTATGACAAACCACACCTTGTTAGGCACAGGAGAATCCACACGGGGGAGAAACCATATACATGCTCTGAATGCGGGAAGAGCTTCAGCCAGATCACAAGCTATACTTCCCATCAAAGAATCCACACTGGAGAAAGGCCCTTTTTCTGCTCCAGCTGTGGAAAGAGCTTTTATGACAAATCCAACCTTCTGACACACCAAAGAATTCACACGGGAGAGAAGCGATATAAATGCCTGGAGTGTGGAAAGACCTTCAGCCAGAAAAAAAGTCTTACTTGCCATCAGAGCATTCACACGGGGGAGAAACCCTATCACTGCCTGGAGTGTGGAAAAAATTTTAGGCAGCAGACAGACCTGACCACACACCAAAAAATCCACACTGGAGACAGACCCTACCAATGCTTGGAGTGTGACAAGAGGTTCTATAGAAAAGCCGATCTAAACAGGCACCAGAAGGTTCACCCTGGGGGAGAAAGACCTATTATTGCTTGGAGCGTTGAGATGGCTTCGGACGGTGTGTCAATGCTGAGGCCTATTGGGGAATTTACACAGGAAAACCAGGGTTTAAGTTCGGAGATTAAGCAGGAGGACCTTTATTGCTAATCGTGTCCCTATCGGTCATTGGAGAATTCCCACAGCACAGACCATTGCTCCAAAGGGATGCCTAGAATGTGGGAAGAGTGGAGAGGGCTGGAGAGCTCCAGAGGCTGCTTGCTTTTCTCCGACATTTCTGCTGGGCTGAACAAAGCGAACGCCTTAGTGTGGTCTTCCCCCGAATCCTCCTTGCGGTTCTAAGCAAAGGAGTGAATTGTCAGGTCTGGGGAGCCAAGAGCCTCATATTGCAAAGCAGATTTTCCTTCTGATATTCCGTTCAGAATGAGCGGATGTATTTGAGGCAGGGTCTCTCAGATGCAGCTGCTTGCATGGAAAGACCATTTCCAAACCCACCTCTGGCTGGTGCAAGGGAGGGGACACAGCCAGAGAAAATGTGTAACGCCTATTCAGAGGGTCTGACTTTGCCCCCTCTCACTTGTCTGCCTGCCAAGGGGTCAGATCTTCCTATCCAGGGAGACCTTCAAATGGATTATTTCTTGTTTTTCCATGACAAATATACCACATCCCTTTGCTTGGACAAGGTATTCATCACAGCTGCTGTTCTTAACATTTTCTCTGTGCTCATTAAGTAAGCTCTTTCTTTTAAAGCACTTATTTTTTTCTTTTGTCCTTTTTGCATTGATCTTTTCTTCTTATGCTGCACTATAGCTTTTTGTTGGCTGCATTCTGGAAAGGTGGAGTGCAAGCGTTTTAAGCAAGTATATGAGCTAGAAGTGACACAACATGGAGGTCTTTATCACTGACCTCATGGATGGGAAGGCTTCTTCTCAGAAATCTTTCAGCCCTTGGGGAGCTCTGGAGGCTCTGAAGGAATGGGGAGGCCAAAGCCCCTGAACTGATTGATCAGGAACTCTGAGAAGGGCCTTCCCATCAGGACTCTTGATCCATCCAGTGTCCACTCAGCCTGTTCATTGTTGAAAGGCAAACATGCTCTCTGAAAAGGCATCTCTCGGAATGGTGGTGCACCTGCTCTGGCTTGACCTGATGGGAACGAAGTGAGCAGCATTGCTTCTGAGCCAGTGGTGGCATCCCCGGGCTGCAGCAAACCACCCACCCAAACTTCACAATGAGAAGTGGCTGGTGACACTAGTAGGCAGCGCCCTGACCATAAAAATACTTTAGATGCTGGAGAAAGTAGGGGAAAGACGCCGCTCCAATTTCTGCAGGACCTCGGGAGCGTGCCAGAAAGAAGCCAAAGAACTAAGATTCCTGGTTTGTGGGAGTTTCCCCTGCAGCTTTTCCTAGGGGCCCGGCTTCTTTGCAGCACTGCAGCCAGTGATGTCTTCCCTCCTAGCCACTGCTCTTCCTTCTGCCTCCCAGAGCACGCTCTCGGCCTTCTCTGGCCTTCATCAGGTACAAGTCCTGGAGGAAAAGGGCTAGATTCTCAAGGAGATCCCCCTGGTTTTCATTAGATGTTGTGGCTTATATTTACAACTACAATTAAATGCCCATTCTCCTCAGTCCCATTTGTGGAGCATCCTGAAATGAGGATTTTTTGAGTGCAGTCCTGCTGATGACCCATCAACTCCCAGTCTTGGAGGCTAATGAGTGTCCTGTGCAGGACTGGAAGAGGGATGGAAGCAATTTTATTCTGTTCCACATTTCTTCTCAGTGGGTTTCTTGCCTCTAGTGGCAGCATTTCTAAATGGCATTAAAAGAGGCTGTGGAGGTCCCAGGAAAAATTCTAGCCTGACCTCCCAAGTCACCTCTCATCTTTGTCCACCCAAATACCCTGTTACCCTTCTACAAAGTTCTTTTTGGAAGGGGGAAGGGGGCAGATGGTGGATTCTGCCCAGCTCAAAGGGCTATCTCTGACCTCTGGTCCGGGTATCCTACACCCCACGGAAGCACTCCAGGGGCCATAGGGCTGTGAATCATGGAACAAGAGCCTGCCACACAAAGTTGGAACCATGACAATTCTGGCAGGAGAGTCATCAAAATGCTTAAGAGTGAGGGTTTCTGTTGCTTAAGTGTCCTGCAAAGGTTTTCTCTGCATATGTTTCTCCCTTCAGTCCCTTTAACATCAGAATAAACGGGATTCATTAAAAGCTTGTGCATTGGTATTTTGTCTATACATCAGAATGCTACTAAATGTGAGGCCGGAGCACTTCCCCCCCACACACAAACACCTCCTCCCTTCAATGGCTAGATAAACTCCTTTCTCTTCTCCTTTCGCTTTCCCTTGACTCTAATTGTCCCAAGCAGGGTAGCCGCCTCCTCTGTTGAGCACTCTCTATAGTAACAGGCTGTTCAACTGGTGGCCTAGTCACGTTACCTATCTGAGGAATGTTGCCTTCCTCTGGCTGAAGAAAAATTTCAGTCAGGCGGGGGAGGAGGTGTGCAATGGGCACCAAGTAAAAATCTTCTTGTTCTAAGGCCTGACTGGGATCTTCTTGTTCTCTCACACATGCTAATGACTCCTGTGAGTCGTTAGGTATGACACTAAATTCTCTGTGATCATGCAAGGGAGCCTAAGGTGTGTGGACTTCCTTAGACCCACCTCCCCTGTATCTCCACGTGCTGTTCATTCTCTGTATTGTCTATTAACATGTGAGCCAGGGGTCCTCAAACTTTTTAAACGGGGCCAGTTCACTGTCCCTCAGACTGTTGGGTAGGGGACGGACTATAGTTTGAAAAATTTTGCTAAAGAAACACCAAAAGCGACGCCCCACCACCACCACCTTGTTTCTCAACAAGGAAGTGTGGAGAGGAAAAATTTGCAAGGGCCTCCCACTACGGCTGCTGCCAACTTAAAGCGCAAACAGGGTGAATTTTACTCCTTAAAAACAAGGGAACAAAAAGCCCCAAATAGACAATTCTGTGGGGTGGACAGTAGAGAATCATAAAGCCCCGCCAAGAGATTTGATTTTGTTAAAGGAAACCCTCATAGAAACAGTAAAAGTGACCACCCCTCCCAGCCTCATTTCTCAACAAGGAAGTGTGGAGAGGGAAATTTCACAAGAGCCTCAGGCTCGCCAACAGACAGGGGAAAAAAGCAGACTGGTTTAAATGAACAAGCTGACTTAATGCAAACAGCAAAATGCTTAGAGGGACATAAAAATAGGTTCAAAAAGTTATATTTTTTTTCAATCCTTTTTAGTGTCTTCATATCTCTGTATTCCCACTCTGTATATGCATGCAATGCGGGGTGGGGGGGAGCCAGCATACACACAGTTGAGCTTTTACAATTAGGTGTGTGTGCCAGCTCTGCTCAGTTTCAGAGAAATCCTGTGCTGGCTCAGAGCTTTTGGGCACACTCGGAGATCATTTTCTCCAAGCGAGTCCAAAAGCTCTGAGGTGGGCCAGATAAATGATCATGGCAGGCCATATCCGGCCTGTAGGCCTTAGTTGAGGACCCATGGTGTAAGCTCCTTAGGGCAGGGAGCTGCACAGAACTTGGCTCACTGAAACAGTCGTGCATCCTGTGTGGTATCATGGAAAGGAGCACAAGGTGTTTGCATGTTCTTGTATCCACCTCCACTGCATCTCTAAAGATGCTTTTCTGTAGTTTCTATTAAAATGTAAGATCTTTGGGGCAGGGACTTGCCTGTACTCCTACAGCCACAGAATACATGAGTTGAACCCAAACCTGAACACTCCCAGCAGCATCTGTTCAGGCCTCTCCAACCTAATTATATCTCAGCATTGGGTTCCCCAAACCATTTCTGAACACCAAGGAATAGCTTGTAAGAATCTCTTCCATTAATAGAAAATGTCGTGCTCTCTAAGCAGAAGCCAAACAAGGCTACTAACGAAATCACACATTCCAGCAGAAGTTTTCCGATTGTCATCTTTAGGGTCCCTTTGGTAGAGTGACAGAAAAGTTGTGGAGCAGTTGAGAATTCTTCAGCATGCTTTTGATTTTCTTCTCTTTTGCCCTGGGAACAGACACGGAAGATGTTTTGACCAAGGCATCCACTGATCCGAGAGGTGCTTTCTTTGCCACTTCACATGCACGTTGAATGCCGACAGACTTTTACACCTGACTTCACAGAACTGCTTGCTAAAGCAGGCAATTCCATAGCATTAAAAGGTCCATACCAGCTATTGAACCTGACTTGTGATAGTGTTTCCTAATTTGGAGAGCAGCAGAAAACAGCTTAGAGCCTGGTTACCTGAAGGAGTGTCTCCTTCCATATGTGCTTGCCCACCTTAAGATTTAGGGCAGATGCCCTTCTCCTAGTGCCCTCCCTGACAGAGATTAGGAGGGTGACTAACCTTCTCTGTGGTATCATCCCAACTGTGGAATTCACTCCCCAGAGGGGTTCTCCTCACGCTGTCACTTTATTCTTTTTGGTGCCAAACCAAATCCTTTTTATTTTCCCAGTGTTTAAAAACCTGACTGTTTTTATTAGGGTTTTATTATTGAATTTTTAGGATGTTGTGTTTGTTTGATGTTTGTTTGTTTATTTACATTTTGTATTGCTAAACCATCCTGAGACTTCAGTAATGGGAAGGTCTAAAAAAGTTTTAAATAAATAAATATCCACCAAGGTCATCAGCAATGAAGAGGTCTGTCGGGGGTCCCACTGTTTTCAAGTGTGTGGGGAGAGAAAGGGGGCAAGTGCAAGATCAATTTGGACCTTTGGTGTGGCCAGTAAAAGGCAGCCTGGATACTGGAGCAAAGCTGCTGGTGGGACAGGCTCGGGCATGGGGTGAGGGGGTCACTATGTTACCTTGGCTGAAACCTGTCAGGGTCTGCGTTCCTGAAGCCATGGACTGTGGTGGTGAGTATCTAACTCCAGGCTAGAACATTGTGTTCTTTTCCTTGGAAACCTGTCCAAACAATCTCCTGGGAATGCATCCTCTGAACGCAATGCTGGACCAGATGAACACTTGGTCTGATATTCTTTGCATGCAGCTGTGCAAGAGCTGGCTAATAAAATGTTCTCTATTTGGTTTGGGATCACTGCATCAGCCTCAGAGAGAGTAAATTTCTCCTCATTCAGGTGTGGTAACTTTTGAGGTAGTGTCAGTACATTTTGTTTCAATAGTCTAAAAGAAAACATATCATCTGATTTGTGTGTGCGTGTATATATATATATGTGCAACTGAAAGTAAAAAGAAACAGAAGGAAAAGTATTTTTTTTCTTCCCGCTCCTCATCACCTTCTGGAATTTCCTGCCTACTATCTGTAAAAAGCAGGGCGCAAAAGAGCATCCCTGACTTTCCATTTTTCAATGAAAATAGCCAACAGAGCCTGCTATTCCTTGCAGAGGAACAGTAAAGCCACAGAGCAGGTTTTCCAAATGGACAAGACCACTGATTTTTTTGGAAAAAAAAAAGTGCTGGAACTCACATCGCCGCCGGCAGTAAGCACTCACACACACCAATCCCAAGCCGAGCAGCGTCCCAAGCCGAACAGTTTCCTATCAGCGCGGATACAAAAGCAGCCCACAGGGACTATGTTAATGATGTTTGCAGCTGATCTGCTCTGCCGACAGGCAATTCAAAATCACTTCATAAAATCCATTGGGAATGGTGCTGGAATGCCGTACCGGTGCGTTCTATGACAAAAAAAGCCCTGGACAAGACTGTGGAGGTGCCTGAAAGTTTCTCCCTCTGGCTGTCCTGGAAGAAAAGAGCAGAAGGTGCTGTGTGTGCAAACCAACTCCTTGATTGAACCCAGAGCAATGCTGCCATTGTAGCTGTGTTCACAGCACATGACAAGCAGTCCTGCATGACTACCACGGTTCACCATTGTTTATGCATGGTCTGTTTAACAGACGATCAAATTGGATCCTACATTATTGTGGTTTCCATCCTCCCCATGAATCCCATCAGCCTCTGTGCCTAAAATTCAATCCCAGGGTGCACAGCTCCCTGCCTCATAGATCTATGATTCAGTCCTCCTCACTTCCCCTTGAAATTCTGTGCCCAAATCCAGAAGGATAAGATGGATGTACTGCTAGAAGAAGCCTCCCGTGACTTGATCCATATCAGATGGTGGCTTATAGCAATAGCTAGCAGGATGGGTTTGAAAGTGAAATGGAACCTCTTCTAAAAGCCTGAGATTTCCATCAGCACAGAAGCCAGAGGCTCCTTCTGTGCTCCCATGTGTACAACATATTCCAGAGGTGCATAAAAAATATGGATGTGATGCTGTTGCACTTAAAAAGAAGCCCTGGGTTGATTGAACCAAGAATTAAAACTGATGAAAATGGAAACCAAGGACCATAGCAAGTGTATGTTCCATCTTGCTAGGGGACCAGCATTTGAATTCATTCAGTAACACATGAACTGATGCTACAGGTGAAACTGGTCACTAATATCTATAGAAATAATTTTTGAAAAGTTAAGGGCAAGAACACCTTATTTCATTAAAAAAACAACATAAACTTAAAGGAAAATATCTCATCATCCCCATTTTAATTAAAAACAAACTAAAACTTCAGTCTATGGACAAAGTGAAGCTTTCAAAAATCAGATGCCATCCTTAGCTTTTGGTGCAAGAGTTCAAGTCTGTTCAATAAAATAATGTAGCACTTGTGGGGAACGATACATCCCAGCAGGCCAGAGCAGGAGGTGCATGTCAGAAAGTTGCTTTAGTTTTTGTGGTGAGATGCTCCTTGGTATTCAGGTCAGGCCTCAAGAAAATAATGTAGCACTTGGGGAGAAAGGTGCAGCCCAGCAGCCCAGCGCTGGAGGCCAAGATGGAGAAGACCTGCACAGCCACCATGTACTTGCCCCTGGTGCTCAGGTAGGTGGGCACGAAGGACACCCAGACGCTGCAGAAGACCAGCATGCTGAAGGTGATCAGCTTGGCCTCATTGAAGGCCCCGGGCAGCTTCCTGGCCAGGAAGGCCACCGTGAAACAGACAGCAGCCAGGAAGCCCATGTAGCTGAGGGCAGCGAAGAACATGGCCACAGAGCCTT